TTATTTAGCGAGTGTCCATGATGGTTAGGTTATTTAGTGAGTGTCCATGATGGTTAGGTTATTTAGTGAGTGTCCATGATGGTTAGGTTATTTAGCGAGTGTCCATGTTGGTTAGGTTATTTAGTGAGTGTCCATGATGGTTAGGTTATTTAGTGAGTGTCCATGATGGTTAGGTTATTTAGCGAGTGTCCATGATGGTTAGGTTATTTAGCGAGTGTCCATGTTGGTTAGGTTATTTAGTGAGTGTCCATGATGGTTAGGTTATTTAGAGAGTGTCCATGATGGTTAGGTTATTTAGCGAGTGTCCATGTTGGTTAGGTTATTTAGCGAGTGTCCATGATGGTTAGGTTATTTACTAAATTTAGTGAGTGTCCATGTTGGTTAGGTTATTTAGTGAGTGTCCATGATGGTTAGGTTATTTAGTGAGTGTCCATGATGGTTAGGTTATTTAGTGAGTGTCCATGATGGTTAGGTTATTTAGCGAGTGTCCATGATGGTTAGGTTATTTAGCGAGTGTCCATGTTGGTTAGGTTATTTAGTGAGTGTCCATGATGGTTAGGTTATTTAGAGAGTGTCCATGATGGTTAGGTTATTTAGCGAGTGTCCATGTTGGTTAGGTTATTTAGCGAGTGTCCATGATGGTTAGGTTATTTACTAAATTTAGTGAGTGTCCATGTTGTTTAGGTTATTTAGTGAGTGTCCATGATGGTTAGGTTATTTAGTGAGTGTCCATGATGGTTAGGTTATTTAGTGAGTGTCCATGTTGGTTAGGTTATTTAGTGAGTGTCCATGATGGTTAGGTTATTTAGCGAGTGTCCATGTTGGTTAGGTTATTTAGTGAGTGTCCATGATGGTGAGGTTATTTAGCGAGTGTCCATGTTGGTTAGGTTATTTAGCGAGTGTCCATGTTGGTTAGGTTATTTAGCGAGTGTCCATGTTGGTTAGGTTATTTAGTGAGTGTCCATGATGGTTAGGTTAATTAGTGAGTGTCCATGATGGTTAGGTTATTTAGCGAGTGTCCATGTTGGTTAGGTTATTTAGTGAGTGTCCATGATGGTTAGGTTATTTAGCGAGTGTCCATGATGGTTAGGTTATTTAGTGAGTGTCCATGTTGGTTAGGTTATTTAGCGAGTGTCCATGATGGTTAGGTTATTTAGCGAGTGTCCATGATGGTTAGGTTATTTAGCGAGTGTCCATGTTGGTAGGGTTATTTAGCGAGTGTCCATGTTGGTTAGGTTATTTAGCGAGTGTCCATGTTGGTTAGGTTATTTAGCGAGTGTCCATGATGGTTAGGTCATTTAGCGAGTGTCCATGATGGTTAGGTCATTTAGCGAGTGTCCATGATGGTTAGGTTATTTAGCGAGTGTCCATGTTGGTTACGTTATTTAGCGAGTGTCCATGTTGGTTAGGTTATTTAGCGAGTGTCCATGTTGGTTAGGTTATTTAGCGAGTGTCCATGATGGTTAGGTCATTTAGCGAGTGTCCATGATGGTTAGGTTATTTAGCGAGTGTCCATGTTGATTAGGTTATTTAGCGAGTGTCCATGTTGGTTAGGTTATTTAGCGAGTGTCCATGATGGTTAGGTTATTTAGCGAGTGTCCATGATGGTTAGGGTATTTAGCGAGTGTCCATGATGGTTAGGGTATTTAGCGAGTGTCCATGTTGGTTAGGTTATTTAGCGAGTGTCCATGTTGGATAGGTTATTTAGCGAGTGTTCATGATGGTTAGGTTATTTAGCGAGTGTCCATGATGGTTAGGTTATTTAGCGAGTGTCCATGTTGGTTAGGTTATTTAGCGAGTGTCCATGTTGGTTAGGTTATTTAGCGAGTGTCCATGTTCGTGTGTATTTTGAAATTCTTTCACACCGTACATAGCCAACCATTCTCTTCGGAGGTGCGGGGTACGGACAACAAACTAAGCACAAAAAAGCAGTTCTAACGACAATTATTTGAAGTCTGGATTTTAAAAATACGTAGCTCCAGTGACTACCTAATATCGGAAGAATATTCCAGACGGCTGCAGAAGTTCATCTGACGAGCCAAAAGCTGCTACGAGGATGACCAGATTTTGCGTGATGGTTTATGCTCTATGATGATTTCAGCAAGGTATTGGGGTTCATTTGTGGCAAGTGCTTTGTGTGTAATGCGTGCAACCTTTTCATGTATGAGTTCGGCAACAGGAAGCCAATGCAGTTCAGTGAGCACTGGACAGACATGGTCGTATTTTGCAGTACCCGTCATGACGCCTGCCCAAAGATGTTGTACACGCTGTAGTTTGGTCATGTTTTTGCCAGATGTGTCGGAGAGTACTGAGTCGGAATAAATGAGCCCTAACGCTATCCCTAACACTAACCCTAACCCCGAACTCTATCCCCTAACCCTAACCCCTAACCCCTTCTAACCCATAACCCTAACCCCTTACCCTAACCCAAACCCTAACTCACCCTAACCCCTAAGTCTAAACCAAAACCCTTAACCCTAACACCTAAACCTAAACACTAACACTAACCCCTAATACTAACCCTAACCATGACCCTAATCCTACCCTAATCCTCCCCTTACCGCTAACCCGAACCCATAACCATAACCCCTAACCCTAACCCCTAACACTAAACCTAACATTGACCCTAATCCTCCCCAAATCCTACCCTAACCATAACCCCTAACCTCTAACCCTAATCCCTGAACCTTATCCCCTAGCCCTAACCTCTAACCCTAACCCTAACGCTAACCCTAAGCCCTAACCCTAAATGACCCTAACCCTAAACCCTAACCCCAACCCCTAACATTCCCCCTAACCCCTAACCCCAAACCCCTTGCCCTAACCCCTAACCTCTTCCTCTAACCTCTTACCTTAACCCCTAACCTTCACCCACACCCTAACACAATTTTGTCCAAAAACGGCATAGATTAGTATGCCAATTTTCTTTTTGGCTAAAAAGGTGTGCCGATTTTATGTGAGTTGAAAATGTATCGTGAATTTTTTTATTTTGTACGTAATATGTAGAATACTACAGCAAACACAACGGAGGAATGCACTTGTTGTTGAAAAATAAAGCTATGGGAATTTGGCTCATTTTGGCCATGAACAGCAGAGGTTAGTATGTCGGGTTTTTTTTGGGACGTGAACATTTAATCGCAAAATTTTCCACTTTTAATCTAATACATAGCATATTTAGGGTAAATACAATGGATGAATTTACTTTTTTCCCAAAATAAAGCTGTAAAAATTTGGCCAATTGTGGCAAAAACGGCATAGGTTAGCATGGCAATTTTATTTTTGTGGGATGTAAAAATTTCATCGTGAAATTTTCCCCTTTTAATCTACTACATAGCATACTAAGGGTAAATACAATCGAGGAATTAACTTTCGTCCAAAAATAAAGCTGTAAAAATTTGGCCAATTGTGGCCAAAAACGGCACCGATGTTCACCAAATATTCCTTAACAACACTGATACCTCCCAGGTCATGGGGGCACCAGCATACTGAACCAGTTCCGTTCCGCGTCTCCAAGTAAACATTTTGGTGAGATGACCAGATGGCTTGGGGAAGAAGTGGCCAAATGGACTGGCACCGCTGAGATCCTGACTGAATTTAGGTTTCAGCCACCCGTGATTAAACAGGTTTCTCAAGTGTAAGGAGTTGTCTTCGGAGACCGTGCCTCGTCAATTGAGCCACAGTAAGGCCGTTGCGCCGTAGGTTGGGCCATAGGATGGGGACACTTATGCATGCCCTCAACTCCTGCACTGTTACATGCACTGGGGATGTTTTTTTCGAATCTGGAGTTTCAATCGCAGCCCGGCACAATTAAATTTCTATATGCAGTCCTGTTTAATGTTTACCCCCTAGCGTATTGCGACACGGCAATTATATAACCTAGTAATGTCACTTGAAACACACTGACAATGCCTACAAACGTTGCGTTTTCAGGATGGACTTTTCACAAAGCTTAAATCTTTTCGCACTTCCCAAACAATGACAACAGCCGGTTGCTTTTGTCGTCTTTGAACTCTTTTTGTTGTTGTTGATCTTAAATGGGTATTGCTTGCAGCCAAGGTGAGTTTCAGGCTGTCATTATTTACTCCTTACATTATAAAGCCCCAAGGCGTATTGTTAAAATGGAATTTCGACACAACAGGAAAACACAACTCTTTTTTCACACACTGGTTTCCTGCTTTAAGTTTTACTAACCCAGCAACATAGCATCTACATAACAAAGGCTCAGTCTCATTTACAGCAGCCGCACCTTTACAGCAGCCGAACCTTAACAACACTGATACCTCCCAGTTCAACCAGTCCACACAACAAAGGCTCGTTCCTAACAGCAGCCTCAGCCGCACCAACCTCACAATAATAATACAAAACTCAGATCCAGGTGCCTACCTTGGCTCCTCCCACCCTCAACCAGTATATATACAAGGACGGGTCTCTTAGAATTTATCTTACTTGATACAACAATCGTGCTGTGACGGTTCCACCTGAAGACGGAAGCTTGTGTTGCCTCCGAAACGTCGTGATTTTTATTTTACTTTTATTAACTTAATTTTTACCTACGTGACTTTACCGGAAAAAAACCCTAAGAATACGGAAAACACTGGTTGTGCTCTTGCAGTCTGGCCCACCACAGAAGGGCAAGGTGAATGTGTTTTCAGCAAGCTGCTTAATCATTTCCCGTTCGTACATGTATGCCAAGGCCAGTGGTGATTTCTCTTTTGTCGACCAGCAGTGGGCTGCGTGGAAGCGTGTTTTCAGCAAGCTGCTTTAGAGCCATGCATTTGCGAATTTAAGAGAGTTACGTCATTGTAACAATACAGCATTGAGCAAAAAAATGTGGCAGTGGTGATTTTGCTCTTTTCGGATTGCGGGGAAAGCTGCGTTGAGCGAGGAGCTAAGAGAGCTGTGGCGCTGGTGAAGCCCTCTCCTTAAACACAACTCCACGGCCGCTAGAGGTGAATGATGTTCCACGTGAAAATCTTTCATGCAACCTCTTATCACACGGGTGGCTGTTTTGCAATAAAAGTAATTTATTAACACTCGGATCTCAAATGTGGCTTCTTGTTATTGTTAGGAACAATACATCTTGCTCGCTTTGTTTTTACACGTTTTGCATAACTATGAATTTAGTATACAGACTTCCCACGCGTTAAGCGATAGGGACAGCTACCTGCTGAGTAGTGCATACAGCACACACACAAAGTACAATGTTGTCCCACGTCCGACCACATGTGGAGTGAATTCAAACCACATCGCAAATTATTGGGTACAAATAGGCTAACCGCATATACTCAAAACTGCACAAACCGAACCTGCACGAAGCGAGTGAAACCTGAACATAGCTTCCGATTAGCACAATTGGCTACGTATGGTGAGAATGAAATTCAACACACGGGTCTCTGCAATTGCTTTGCCATGCCACGACTGCCAGAAGGGCATCCGCTGGTCTCATACTCTAACTGCATGTGTTGGAAGCAGAGGGAGTAGCCACACTTTATCCCACCACACTCGGTCTGCCCATGAACTGTGGTAAACCCATTTCGACTGCTCTGTGGACAGAGGGATTTTAATAAACTTGCCCCATGGGTTTGACTGCCATGCCGAGAGATGAGATGCAACCGGCGACCTACAGCAGATGTCACAACCGGGTACCCGATACCCGTACCCTACCCAATACCCGGCTACCCGTACCCGGCCGTTTGTGACCCTGGTGCGGCCGGGTACGGGTACAGAATCAAAACCTGTTTGCGACCTCTGACCTCCGGCCTGCGAGTCCATTGTGCTGAACCGTTACACCACGGCAGCTTCCTGCTAAACTATACAGTAAAACCTTGGATTGCGAGTAACTTGGTCTGCGAGTGTTTTGTAAGACGAGCAATTTTTTTAATAAATATTAATTTGATAAACGAGCGAGGTCTTGCAATACGAGTAGTACGCGTATACGCTTTGTCTGCCGAGCGTCACATGATCACAACTGATATACGAGTGCTTTGGGTTACAAACACGTTTCCGGAACGAATTATGCTCGCAATCCAAGGTTTTACTGTATTACTATAACATATAACAATTCGTTATTTAAATAACTCATTCATGTGCTCTCACGCACGCTCGTGCAGCAATGGGGCTGTGCAGTGCAGCCGTGGCATTGGCCGCATCTCCCGTCCGCCCCTGGCGGTGCCGCTCGCGACAACTGGGTCACCGCTTGGCGTTGGGGTTCCGCTTGTACGTCTCATACGCAAACTCCTCGCTGTGCGCGGGGTCTTTGTAGACGCCGATGAAGTCGATTTCGAGCTGGAAAGGCCCATCCGCCTGCTCGCCCAAAGTGAAGCCCAGCGTCCCGACCTACGGCGTGCAGCCAAACAACAAACGGCACGGGGTCGGAGTTGCGATTGATGAGAGTTAACGGGCTTCTTGCCCATGATAAAGGGTTTTTGTTGGGTTAGATCACGTAAATATGAATGCGTCGTTAAACCCGCCACCACTCGGCAAAGCCAATGAGTAAGGTTTGTCACGTGAACTTCAGCACACCCAGTGTGTTGGAAGTGTAAACCCACAACATTGACAATTGGCGCACGACATTTCGCTGGTAAATGCAACCGATTTCATCAGTCGATTAGCCAGAATTGTGAAGAAGTCTTCCTGTTTCAGTCTTAAGTAAAGGTGATGTCATCACTGTGAGCCTATCAGGTCTGAAAACCAGAGAGGGGGGGTACTTTCTGTGATAGTGTTAGTTTAACTGTTTTTGGTATTTTAGTTTGAGCGTGGGAAGAGAGAGAGATGATAATGAGTGGAGCAAGGGAAGCGGAGAGAAGTGTCGTGACCTGCAAGCTGGTGAGTGAGTACTTGAGTGAGTTGTTGTGACCCCTACACTGTGGTGGCTGAACAGTGTTGATGAGATGAAACGGTGAGTCTGGTAGACCCGAGTCCAGGTGAAAGAGTGAAGCTCATGGGAAGAGTAACCATGGTAGTAGCGATAGAAGAGCGATAAGGAGGTGAATGACCAAGGTTGTAACATTTACGTACATCAAGTTTCAAGAGTAGCTCTATGGACAAAACTGGCCCCTTCCATGAGAATGTGGAATTTGGAGCATAAGCCCAGGGCCACCTACAGAGAACTTTTGGCAGCCCTTGGCTGAGCACAATGACTACTTATTTGAGTATGGAAATTACATCTATTAAATCCCAGGTGAATGTTTCGATATCATAATTATTGTTATTATTACACATCATTGTGGAAAAAACAGGTGGTCTGGGCAAACATGGTAACTGAAGCAAGATCAGTTGGAGCATTAAGTGGTGCACAGACGACGGAAAGTGCAGCCTTACCCGGTCTGTCTGAATGGGATGTTGTACGTCATTAATCCTGCCACGAGATGCCAGGAAAAACTTGGAAAAAGGAATCTGAAAAACATATTCAAAAGTTGTTGCCATCGCAAGACAGCGGAGACATGGCGGTGTCTTGGGAAATGCCTCCATCTGATGATCATGATGAGAAGCCATACCATGGCTTGCCAGGGAGGAGGTACAGCAAAAAGTGGATTGTATCTATTGAAGATAGTGTTGCCAACTTGCACGTATGGGTTTTCCCTCGGTGCTTCAATTGTCTCCCACACTAAACACTCATGAATTGACTGATAACATCTTCTTGGTTCTTTCGGTAAAGTCACGTAGAAGGGAAATAATAAAATAATAAAATACAATTCTCACGACGTTTCGGCCACAACGCAAGCAGCCATCCTCAGGTGAAGAACAGGGCTGTTGGAAATACTTTAAATCGAAATTTGACTGATAACACCTTCATATATAGAGGACTGCAGAGCTAAGGCAATTGTTGGTGCCGACTCATCGCCTGGCTGCCTTCCCGCTCGTCTGCGGTTTCACGTGCCCGAGTCGTTTTCTCTCTTCGCGAGCAAGTGAAAAGAGTGAATACCATCCGGCGTGTTACAATTTGAAAGCTTTACATTCTCACGAGTCGTGCATGTGTAGGGCTGTTATCGAGGGGCTGTTTGTACATAGGATCAAACGGCGAACAAACACAGTGGGCGGAGCTCCGGGAGTACACGGGGGGGGGAGCCCGCAACGACGTCCGCATAGGGCTGTGATCCTGTGGGGGGATATAAAAGGGGATGACAGAGAGAGCTCGGGGCTCAGTCTTAGTGTAGTTGAGGGAAGAAGGAAGACCAGCCAGATAGGCCCTGGACTCCCCCTGGGACGCCGCCCTTGTAAGGGCCGCGCAGGCTGGAGCCAGTGGCGTGGTCCCGGAACCGGAGTTAGACCTCTGGGATTCCGGGTACCGTAGCCCGACTGACCAGTGTCGGGCCAGACAGCCTCCCCTAGCCCGGTAGCGGAGGACTCTGCTAGGAAGGCTAGCTAGGGGTGAATTCCCAGTTATACGGGTGAGGGGGCCGATACATCCCTCCAGTGCTGTAACAACATTGTGTAATAAATACGTGTGCCTCAACCTCGGTGTCAAGCGTCGTAAGAAATACTACATCTGGCGTCAGAAGTACTGCGAACATGGACACGCGCCATACAGCTCGGGCCAGAGCATCGCAGGAGGAGGACACGGCGGAGATCGTCGAGTCCGAAACGGATCAACAAGACGTGGTGCAGCCGGGGCCTGAGGCCTTCTTACCGGGGCATCGGCATGAAGAGGGGCCGCAGCCAGACGCGCTACGGCTGGCTCACGAAAGGCTGGCGGAGCTGCTGTATGCCGCTGCCGCCACGCTGGAGAACATCACGCGGTTGGGGGCTGGTGGTCCACCACGGGGCGAGGAGAGCCGGCGGCCGGAGCGCCTTCCCGCCACTTCTAACTTTGAATTTCCCGCCATGGACGCCGCAGCTGCTCAGGGCGTGGCCAGCTTGAACATCGGCTCCGACATCGCCGTCGCTGGAGCTGCAGCGTCATCACCGGAGGGTGCGTCATCGCTGCTGCGACAGGCGATGCCATCGGCCGTTCGCGCCGATGCACAGCCAAGTGGTGGTGACAACAACCTGCGGGAGTCGACATCAACCGCGGCGCTTCATCAGAGACTGCCCCCGCTGAAGGAGTTCATCGGCGCGGAGGGAGACTGGGGCGGCTTTCGGCGACGCTTCCTCGCCCATCAGGAGATGGCGAGATGGTCCGATGAGGAGGCTCTCTGCGCGCTGCCGGCGCTCCTCGACGGCGACGCGCTCGCCGCACTCACATCGGCGCCGAGGGAGAAGCGTGCTACGCTACCGATGGCGCTACAGCTGCTGGCCGGGGTCTATGGACCTTCAGCTGAATGCCGTCAGCAGTTTTACGATCGCAAGCGGGGTGAGAAGGAGTCGCCCCTGGCATTCCGGACAAGTCTCCTGGCGCTGGCAAAGACGGCCTTTCCTCGTATGGACGACGACGGCGTGGACGCGATGGTCATGGAGAAGATCCTCCTCCTGGCGGACGACCTCGACATCGTTGTCATCGCACAGGAGGACGCAGAGATGACTTCTCTCCAGGCTGCGCGGCTCCTCCACGCCAACCTTCTGTCACTGCGGCGGAAAGCCAGCAGGGCATCGGCTGGGCGTGCGGTGGCTGCAGCCACCCTTCCAACGGAAGAGCTCTACGCCGTCGACCATCGACGGCAACAGGCGACAGGAGCACGGCTGGGCCAGGACGGGTCGGGCCGCTTCGACCGTCCATCATCTCCGTCGGCGCTCCCACGCTGTTTCAACTGCGGCGTCCGGGGCCATGTCGCCTCGGGGTGCCGCTCTCCTCGACAGCGCGGGACGACGCCTCGACGGGACGCCGGCCCTCCTCCTCCTCCCAAGCTCCAGCAACATGATCCGGCGAGTCGCGGCACCACACATGTTTGGCCAAAGCACCCACCTGTCGCACACTCTCGCACCGTAACGAACGGGGGGCCGGTGGGGCGCTGCGACGGGCCAGCACGGATCACTGCGGGGACTCAAATTGAGCCCAAGCAGTGGTCCGTGTTAGCCCATCGCGTGGTGGCCGCGGCGTCGGGGTCGTCGGCCGTGGTCGGTCACATTGACGGGGTAGAGGTACGCATCATAGTCGATACGGGGGCATCGGCGACAATCATTTCGGAACTAATTTATAATATTCTACCTGTACAGAGCCGCCCTTTGCTGCCGGTTAACGTCCCATTTTATGCCGCTAACGGGGGCTCACTCGGCATCGTGGGACAGATTCGAGCGCAAATTTCTATCGGGGACATCAAATTGTCGGGGCCGATTTTTGTTTCCTCCTCGCTGGCAGTTCCGTGCCTGCTGGGGACGGACTTCTTAGGCAGAATGCCAATTCGTATTTTGATCGACCAAGGATGCATTGAGCTTCCGTCGGGGCGACGCATGGCGTTCCTGCCTTCCCCTGTTGCGACTCGGACGGCGTTCGCGACGGTACCGGCGTTCGTCGTTAAAACAGTGCGTGTGCCGCCGGGAGCTCAAATGTTAGTACCCCTGAAACTTCGTAGGCCTTTCGCTAAGGGCGTTGGGGATCAGGGTGTTGTGCTGGGACCGTCTAGGGCCGGGGTTAATGGCCCTCATTTGATTCCGGCCCAGACCGTTGTAAGAGGGGACGGGGACCCTTTCATCGCGGTCCTCAATGTAGGGTCGCAGACAGTAGTGGTTCCTCAAGGGACAGTGCTCGCTCACGCGACGCCGGTGCCCTGCGAGGAACCCGTCGCGAACCACGTTGACACCGCTTCCCGGACGCACCCGCATTCGGACGGCGATGAAGGGTGGCTCGACGCGCTTTGTGCGGGATCGAAGGACCTATCAAATTCAGAGCGCCAACAGCTTCGATCGCTGCTGAAGGAATTTTCCGACGTTTTCAGTCGGAATAAATACGATTTGGGTTGTACTCACCTGCTGCGTCACCATATTGACACGGGTGACAGCGCGCCTATTCGCCAAAATCCGTTTCGGTTGAGTCCCGCCGAAAAGGACCATGTCAAATCGGCTGTCGATGACATGTTAGCCGCCGACATCATTTCTCCCTCTACCAGCCCTTGGGGAGCGCCGATTGTCCTGGTTAAAAAGCAGGATGGCTCGTTGCGGTTTTGCGTGGATTTCCGGCGCCTTAATAAGATTTCGGTTGCCGACGCATACCCGCTCCCACGGATGGACGAATCGCTGGACGCCTTGGCGGGAGCGCGATTCTTCTCCACACTAGATTTACTTTCGGGATTCTGGCAGCTTCCTCTGGACGATGACTCAAAGCCTAAAACTGCTTTCCGTACACCGCACGGCCTGTTCCAATTCAACCGGTTGCCGATGGGCTTACACTCAGCGCCGGCAACTTTCCAGCGATTGATGGAATTGGTTTTGGCTGGATTGCAATGGGAGTCGTGCCTGATTTATTTGGATGACGTTATTGTCTTTGGAAAAACTTTTGACGAACATCTCCAGAGGTTGCGGGCGGTTTTCCAAAAGATGCGGGCTGCTAATTTGAAATTTAAGCCCCAAAAATGCCATTTGTTACGCGAGTCGGTGCGATATTTGGGGCACATCGTGGGGCGCTCAGGTATTGCTACCGATCCCGCCAAAACGCAGTGTGTCAGCTCCTGGCCGACTCCAACCTCGGTGGGGGAGGTGAGGAGTTTTATTGGCTTCGCGTCATATTACCGACGCTTCGTTGCTAATTTTGCAACAATTGCCAAACCCCTACACGCCTTAACATCTAAAGGGGTTCGGTTCCACTGGGGTCAGGATGAGGAAGTTGCTTTCTGCTCCCTTCGGGACGCCTTGGTGAAAGCTCCTCCCTTGATTTACCCAGATTTTTCGAGGCCGTTTTTGCTCGACACCGACGCGAGCAACACGGGTATTGGAGGCGTGCTTTCCCAGGTGGTTGACGGCGTGGAACGGGTGGTCGCGTACGGCAGTCGGGTGTTGTCTCCAGCGGAGCAAAGATATTGTGTCACCCGTAGGGAACTGTTGGCAATTGTCTATTTCATCCAACAGTATCGCCCATATCTGTACGGTCAGCATTTCACCGTCCGTACAGATCATGCGGCACTGCAGTACGCCCTGAAGGTTCAACAGCCATCGGGACAATTGTCCCGATGGTTGGAGGTCCTCCAGGATTTCGATTTCGAAACCACCTACCGTAAGGGCGTTCGCCACACCAACGCGGACGCTCTGTCACGCATGCCAACCGCCTCCGAATGTGCATGCCTCCTGGGGTCGGGGCGTTGCAGGCCAGCAGGGGACATGCCGGTTCCAGTCCTGGCGGCCGCCGCCGATGCCGACACATTGCTCCCCGATGATATCACGGAACAGGGAAGAGATTCCCTGCTCGGGTTGCCTGTTAATGAATGGGGGCGCCTCCAGATGGAGGATACCTCCCTCCTCGCGCTGCGTCGTCGTGCCGGGGAGAGGGGGCGTGGGACGGGTGATGCCGATGCATGGGAAATGCACGCGGGGTTGCTTATGCATTGGGACGGGAAATCCCACCGTCACCGGCTGGTAGTCCCTTCTGGGTTACGGGGTAAGGTGGTGTGGGCTGCTCATGAGCGCCTCCTCCACCTGGGTACCCAAAAGACCCTCGCCTCGCTCCAGCTTGACTTTTTTTGGCCGGGCATGACACGGGATGTCACGGATTTGTTGGCATCGTGCCCTCGGTGTGCGCAGCGCAAACCACCGGCTCGGGAGTCGAACCCGCCGTTGCAATCCATCACAGTCTCCAGGGTGAACGAACTTGTAGCGTTGGATATCCTGGGCCCATTTCCCGCCACCCCTAGGGGCAATAGATATTTGTTAACAGGGGTTGAGTACTTTACGCGCTGGCCTATGGCCTGGCCCCTGGCCAATCAGTCGGCAGCAGCCATCGTGGACGCCTTTGTCCAAGGCTACGTCATGGACAAAGGTGCTCCGGAGCGGCTGCTGACCGACCAGGGTAAAAATTTTTCCGGGAAACTCCTCAAACAGGTCTGTGATCTCCTGGGTACGAAGAAAATTCGTACCTCTCCCTATCACCCGCAAACTGACGGGATGGTCGAGCGTCTGCATCGCACCATCACGTCTATGTTGTCGCACCAGGTTTCGGAATCACAGACCAATTGGGACTTGCAAATTCAGGGGGTCCTGGCAGCGTATAGATTGGCCCCCCATGCTGCGACGGGATTTTCACCCTTCTTTCTCATGTATGGCCGCGAACATGACCCGCCTGTTCGGGCACAGCTGCAGATCCCCGCGCCGCTGGGTAAAACTAAATTGGACGAACACGTTAAATTTAACCTTCAAAAACTGACTGAGGCACGGGATGCTGCCATGCTAAATTCCGACAGGCGTCAAAAGGCGATGAGCGCCTCAGGCTGGCACGCGCGCACGTGCTGCAGTGGAAGCCAGGGGACAGGGCATGGCTGCACTGTCCCCAGGTACCACTTGCGACCTCCTCGAAACTGGTGCGGCCGTGGCGGGGCCCCGTCGAGGTGGTCGAGGTTTTGCGACCTCAGTGCGTTCGAATCAGGTGGGGGAAGCGCCGGTGGTTCGTTCACCCCTCTAGGCTGAAACCCTTCGTTGCGGTGCGAGGCCCTACTCCACACGTGCCGGGCCAAACATGTGGGGGGTTGACCGACTCGGAGGGTCCGTCTCGGTTGCTCTCGCCTGACGTCTTGCCGGCTGTTCCGCCCCCAGGTACTTCAGGAATGACGGGCTCGCGTCCAACAACCCACACGGGGGATGCCGAGGGTCTCGCCACTCCAATCGCGGACTCGCCTCAAAAGGGACAGCTGCCATCGGATGGTCCGCCATCTGGGGTTGGCCCATGTGACGGGCCTGCGGCAAGGACGCGCGTAAAAATGCGCAGACTCTTGTAATGCACAGGAAGACGAAGAAAAAGAAAAAAAAATTCTATTGCGTTTTTTTGTGAACTTTTCGCGTGTTATGGTTACTGGGCGCTGCGTTGGTGGGGCGCTCTTGGCACGCTGTTGTTATGGTTGTGTGTGTTGGGTGTGTCTTGTGTGTGTGTTGTGTGTGTGTTGTGTGTGTGTTGTGTGGGTGTTGTGTGTGTGTTGTGTGTGCGCTGGAGTTTCCTGGCGAATGTATATACCTTGCTTTTACGGATTTCGTATTTATTCAAGGGGGGGGGGGGGCGCGTCGGTTTATTCTCCCTTTGGGGGTATGGTAATTGTTGTTGTTCAATTCACGTTCTGTTGAAAAGAAAAAATGAGGCACACACGTGGGTCAAGAGGTAAAGGTACCTTTATTGGAATTGTTGCAGCCGGGACGGCTGCGAGCTATGCAGGGGGGAGTGATGTAGGGCTGTTATCGAGGGGCTGTTTGTACATAGGATCAAACGGCGAACAAACACAGTGGGCGGAGCTCCGGGAGTACACGGGGGGGGGAGCCCGCAACGACGTCCGCATAGGGCTGTGATCCTGTGGGGGGATATAAAAGGGGATGACAGAGAGAGCTCGGGGCTCAGTCTTAGTGTAGTTGAGGGAAGAAGGAAGACCAGCCAGATAGGCCCTGGACTCCCCCTGGGACGCCGCCCTTGTAAGGGCCGCGCAGGCTGGAGCCAGTGGCGTGGTCCCGGAACCGGAGTTAGACCTCTGGGATTCCGGGTACCGTAGCCCAACTGACCAGTGTCGGGCCAGACAGCCTCCCCTAGCCCGGTAGCGGAGGACTCTGCTAGGAAGGCTAGCTAGGGGTGAATTCCCAGTTATACGGGTGAGGGGGCCGATACATCCCTCCAGTGCTGTAACAACATTGTGTAATAAATACGTGTGCCTCAACCTCGGTGTCAAGCGTCGTAAGAAATACTACACATGGACCAATCTTCGACTGAAAGTTACATTCACCACAACCAGCATCCTCCTTTGCACGTGAGAACACCCAAGTGTACCTCCGCCCCTCCACCCGCAACCCCTCCCCCACCCCAATTCTTAAATGTATGTATGTTGAACTTCTTTCGCACCATACGTAGCCAACCGTGCTAATCGGAGGTGCGTGGGGAAAAGGCCAAACAACTAAGCACAAAAATCAGTTCTAAAGAAATTAGTATTTATTAACATACTATATATATTTCGATTTAAAGCTTTCGTGACTGCAGGGATTCATACTCTTGGTTCTTTCAGTAAAGTCACGTAGAAGGGAAATAATAAAATAATACAAATTAAACTATAAAATTCTCACGACGTTTCGATTGCAACACAAGCAATCATCATCAGGTGTGAAAACCACACCTGATGTGTGAAAACCACACCTGATGATGATTGCTTGTGTTGCAATCGAAACGTCGTGAGAATTTGATTGTAAAATTTCTTATTATTTTATTATTTCCCTTCTACGTGACTTTACCGAACGAACCAAGAATATACTGTATACATGACAAGAGGCAGAAGACGGGATTTCACCTTGACGTCCTGCCAGGTAGGGCCTCCGCGGGTGAAGAGGAAGTAGTGGTAGAGGTCGTTCTGCATGTGGGTGTAGTAGTTGTCGACGCTGATGTTGATCATGTAGGGTCTCCCGTCTCCTCTCACTCGCAGGAACAGCACGTTCATGTCTCCCCAGTCGAAGGCCTTCTTCTTGTTCATGAAACCCTGATGGCAAGGGAGGTGTGCGTGTGTTAGAGGCGACCTGCACATCGACCGCGGTGAACTCATTTACACTGCTGGCTGTAAATTATCCAGCAGCATAAATTCCACAATCCCATGCTCTGGAACAAAAGGGTTGGCAACCAAATTAACGAGCCGTTTTTTTCGAATTCCGTAAAAAAAGACGCGATATTTATACGAGACGGTGGTCCTCAATAAATAACGTCGTCTCAAATCAGTCCTTAACGAAACGCATGCGTCTCTAGAGCCGCAGTTTGCTAACCCCTGCTTTAGCATCAACCATTTCACACCACGCTTACAAAAACTTCCAAAAACACTTCTCTTGCGTCTTCTTCCCTCGTATTGCTCGACTTTGGAAATCATTTCCACCGTCTCTCTTTTCTCAAGCTCTTATAACCTTACTCTATTCGAGAAACTTATACTGGTAGGAACCTCCTCGTTACACCAGCCCACAGGGGATTATTGTGTCCGTCCGTCGTGCATCCAAAAATGGGAGGGATGGGGCTGGGTGGAGAGGGGAGGTTGGGGAGGGTGGGGAGGGGCTGGGTGGGGAGGGTGGGGAGAGACTGGGTGGGAAGGGTGGGGCTGGGTGGGGAGGGGCTGGTCACCCCGTGGTGCCCTTATAAAACCCAACGTTTAACCTACTCACGCCGGCTTGTGCCCGCCCTCACAGTCGGGCATATTAGCGAAATACACCACACCGCCGTTGACCCTGGCCATTGACCGAGCAACCCAACGTTCCTACCAGCTCCCTCCGCAGGAATGTGTTTAACTCTGATCAAGATGTCATCATGACCAAAGTTGCCAACGCCCCCAGACCTCGCCAAAGCTTTCCTACCCTCCGCCAGTTCCCGCAGCTGCTGCGCAGTAGACAAGCAACGTCCAAGATCCGGCCTGACAGGATCCCACCATCAGCTCCTAGGTCTTGCTTCTACAACGGTGTTGCATGTCGATGGCCGCAAGGGCATTTGTAATTTGAAATAAATAATAATGGCTGGCGATTATCACGCACTGAAATATTTTTAAAAAAGGTCATCATGGTCCTTCCCTCCTCGCACCTCTTGATTCGCACTGTTGACTACGTACGGTGTGAAAGAAGTTCAACATACACACGTACACACGACACAGACGAAACCATTCTCACTTCACCCTCGCCTTCGAGTCTTTTGGACAGACCGCGGCTGACAATGCCGATCGTGAGGCTACATGGATTAACCTTTGCCTACATGTCAAACCCCTCCATAACCTATGAGACATCTCCTTTATCAGTGTAAAAATATAGTAATAGGTTTTTACCCTTTCAACTGGTACAAAAACTGACACCTTTATACAAGGCATCATGTTTGCAATAACCACAACACAAGCAGTCAAAATGCAAACAAAAAGAAACTGATAATGATAATGATATGCACTGTCCTTGAAGTTGATTGGTCCACACCCGAGACAGCTTTTCTTAGAGCCCAGTCTCCATTGGTGTTGGACCAGATGATGCCAAAAGGTGTACAACTCAAAAACAGCGCACTATCAGAGTATTGAGAGCTCGGGGTAAGCATTACACTGAGACATCTCCTTTACAGTGGAAAAATATAGTGATAGGTTTTTACCCTTTCAACTGGTACATAACCCTCTCGCAACCATCTCTCGACCCTCACCAACCGGGGCTTGGACCTCAGCGTGCAGTACCCGCTGTACTTGGTCCTGCCGTCTCGAGGGATGTAGTTATCGAGTTCGCCATGAAAGAGCAGGGTCTTGTTGTTCTTGCTCAGCGATAAAAACGATCGGCTGCGTCCGCCCATCTCAGCATCTGACGAGACGAGCCAATCCTGCAGGTGACAAAACATTTGAAGACACAATGCCACCGCCCCCCTTCCCGTATTGTTTTTCCGCGTAAACAAAAATACGATCCATTGGCCACACGGCCCTTGGGAAGTGTGTATTTTCAGCAGTGTTGGTTTCAATGCGAGCAAACTCTGTACATTTTTCAACATTCAGTGTGTCTCATCAGCAGGGGTCAAGCTGGCTTAAACCACTGCGGGTGAACTGCACATTGTTTAAGTCGAGAGTCCTGTTAGAAATGGGTACAATTTCTGCTGGTAGGCAATACTACGATGCGTATGTTGTACGATATAAAATCCATGATAAAACGTATCGTAAGTAAAAAAAAACATAAATTTTCACTGTAATTCCATCAAAGCTGTCAAACAAGACGCCAAAACTAGCAAGCCAGAGGTTCCCTGCGAGGCAATTTAAAAACAATAACATGGGGACCTTTTTTGCCAGTATCAAAGTATGAAAAAAATAGGTAATAAAACAGGAGGTATTAGTAAGAGGTTCAGATACCAAACAGAAACCTTTTGCAAGGAACCATGTCTGCATTAACCACGCGTACTTGTGGTGAACATGCAAACAAAAACATGCTCTGGTGATATATGGAATTGTCTTTGAGACTGATTGGTCTACACCAGAGACAGCTTTCTTTCGGGCCTAGTCTCACCAGTGTCAGATCAGAAAACGCCAAAAGGCGAATAATTGAAACGGTTGGCAATTTTCTTCCACTTGAAGCGGTAACCGATTGTGAAAACGATTACCGGTTGTCACTTAACTACTCCAAACCAAAACGTAAACAACGGTTATCCATGTGTTTTGTTGTTGTTGTTGCTTAGGCCACCTAGTTAATGCCAACGTGTTTGTCATTAACCCTCCCACTACTTGACAATGTCGTCAAGCACTTTACATCGATTGTGCACGTAGAATGATATCTTTGTAAGCGTGTTACTCATGCCCGATTGTGGCGGTGTTGGGGTTAATGATCAATTATTTGTCTATATTACACGCTTTTATTTAACTCGCTCTGTCTGTTGTTGACGTATCCTCAAATCTTGTAACTCAATTTTAACCCACTTCCCAATGTGGTATCGACTGCAAACTTGGTATACTTATGTCATACTGATGACAATACTATATTCTATCATAAAAAAAAATACATATATTTTTAAACGTTATTTTTTACATGTTATGTTTCGGCTTGGCTCTAATTGTCCACGCTCAACTGACGTTGGCTGTAAATAACCACAGTCCCTGACGTTGTGGTAAGCTTCGGGGCCACTTCCTGAAGTCGTGAAGTTCTTCCATTACTAGTGTAGGGATTATTACGGGAGAAACGGCAGACAACAAACACAGGGGTGTTGGCACTCACATACACGGGTGGTCACACCGACGTCCGCATCCGTTATTGCCCACGCCCCCAGCCCTCGGAGGTGATCCCTATAAAAGGTGGAGACCCAAAGAGCTCGAGGCAGTTCGACACGAAGCTGACCAGTGAAGATCCAAGACTTTGAGATTAGGCCCTGGGACTCCCCGGTCTCGCCGTCCTTATAAGGGCCGAGCCGGGTAAGCCAGCGGCGTGGCCCAAAAGCTTCCAGACCGCTGCCCTTATCAGGGCAAGGCTGGTTAGCTGGTGCCGAGATCTGTGCTTGCCAGGGCCAGATCAGTCAGCCTCCCGTAGCCCAGTAGAGGAGGACTGGGGAACAGGACAGGGGGCTTAGTACTAGGGTGGGTTTCCCATAGTACGGGTGAAGGGGCCGATACCCCTTCAACTATTGTGCCTGTCCCTGGGTTAATAAACAGAGTGTGCCTCAACTTCGACATCGTCTCCTCGAACTTACTACATCTGGTGTTGGAAGTGGTCCAAGCATGGATACGAGACGGACGACTCGTGCCCAAGACCCAGGAGAGGATGACGACGAGGGAGGGGCGGTGCAAGACATCACCGCCGACGTACCTGCACAACCGCTGCCGGCTCCGACATCGGCGGGGTCGTCGGAGAGGGCCGGGACGTCGACTGACGAGTTGGCGTTGGCTCACTCGCGGCTGGCGGAGCTCCTGTATGCAGCGGCCGCCATGCTGGAACAAATAACTCGCCTGGGGCCGGGAGGAGCGACGCGGCGGGAAGATGGACAACGCCCGCCAGAAACTCCCGCCTTTACAACAGAGAGGAGACTCGAAATTCCCGCCACAAAGACAGTAGGGGCAGAGGGAGGAGCTCCAGCTCGTCACGCGGGGGACGGAGCCCAGCCAGCAGCCGCCACGTCATCGGCGGAGGCGGGTCGCAGTGGCTGCCTATCGGGGGTTGCAACGTCACCACCATTGGACGCCGGCACCGACCAAGCCCCAACCAGCACGTCACTGACGGCGCGACACCCATTAGAGTCCGCCATTACTCGTACAGTACGGGGACGCGATACGGATGCTGCAAGAGACTCGGAGACGGAGCCGACATTCCAGCAACGCCTGCCGGCCCTGCAGGTATTCGTAGCAAGCGACGGCGATTGGGGGGGGTTCCAGCGCCGGTTCCTTGCCCACCAAGAAATGGCGGGCTGGTCGGACAACGAGGCGCTGTGTGCTCTCCCGGCGATGCTGAATGGCGACGCCCTGGGCACCCTCACCGCTGCACCCAAGTCGGCACGCTCCACGATTCAGTCGGCGCTGCAGCTGCTGGCCACGGTTTATGGGCCGCCTTCCGATTGTCGCCAGCTCTTCTATGAACGGCAGAAGGGCGACAAGGAATCGCCACTTGCTTATCGCACGGCCCTGCTGTCATTGGCGAAAGACGCTTTCCCGCGTATGGACGAAGAAGGGATCGATGCGATGGTGGCCGAGAAAATTTTGCTGCTGGCCGACGACTTAGACTTCATCATCCTAGCACAGGATGATGCGGATATGTCATCATTGCGGGCTGCAAGGCACATTCACGCCAATCTCATCTCCCAGCGGAGGAAGGCAAACAAGGCAGCTGCACGACACACCGTGGCGGCGACCTCTTCCGGAATGGAGGGTGCCTTCGCTGCGGACCGTTCTGCAGGATGGCGATCTGCCGAGCGACCGGCTCGGGACGTTCCGAGCCACCGAGATCAGCCCAAGTCCTCTGGAGCGCTCGTCGTCTGCTACAATTGTGGCCTCCGGGGCCACGTGGCGTCCGGATGCCGGGCTCCTCGACAGCGCGGAGCGAGACCTGGAGCTGCGGACGGCCCTCCCCACAAGCCTTCGCAACATCCTCGGGCAAGTCATGGCACCCCACATGTTCGGCCTGCACACACACCCACTTTCCTCTCACAAGGTCCGATACACGATTCTCGGGGTTTGGGTGCTGGTGCGTCGGGTCGCGGCATGTCGGGGAGGGCGCTCCAACCGGGCCAATGGTCCGAGTTGGCTCACCGGGTTGTGGCTGCATCGGCGGGGTCGTCCGTTGTCACGGGGCATATTGACGGGGTGGAGGTATGGGTACTGGTCGATACGGGAGCTTCGGCAACTATCATTTCGGATTTGATTTATAATATCCTGCCCGTTCAGAGTCGTCCGTTGCTCCCTGTCGACATACCGTTTTACGCTGCGAATGGGGGCTCGTTGGGTATTATCGGCCAAATTCGAGCGCAAATTTCTATCGGGGACATTAAACTATCTGGCCCGGTGTTCGTCTCCTCCTCGCTGGCTATTCCGTGCCTGTTGGGGACAGACTTTTTGGCCAAATTGCCCATCAAAATTCTGATTGACCAGCGATGCATCGAGCTTCCATCAGGCCGACGTATTACGTTCCTGCCTTCCACCCCTGCCTTGCATACTGCCTGTGCTACGGTACAGGCGCTCGTTGCTCGAACGGTGCGTGTACCCCCGGGGGCACAGATGCTAGTACCCCTGCGGTTGCGTCGACCGTTCGATAAAGGGGTCTCTGACCGGGGCATTATGTTGGGACCATCGAGAGCCGGGGTGAGTGGGCCAGATCTGGTGACGGCCCAGACTATTGTTAAAGGGGATGGGGACCCGTTTATCGCGGTCCTCAATGTCGGGACACGGACGGCGGTGGTTTCGCAGGGTACCATGTTCGCACATGCGGTTCCGGTACCTGCGGAAACGCCGATCATTGGCCAGGTGGCCACCGATTCTCAAACGCGATTAGCCTCAGACACTGACGAGGGTTGGTTGGAGGCGTTGTGTGCTGAGTCACCTGACCTGTCCGACGCACAACGTGCTAAATTACGCGCCTTATTGCGAGAATTTTCCGACGTCTTCAGTAAACATAAATACGATATCGGATGTACCAAATTGCTACGCCACCATATTGACACCGGTGACAACGCTCCTATCCGCCAAAATCCTTTTCGGTTAAGTCCCGCCGAAAAGGATCATGTCAAATCGGCTGTAGATGACATGTTGAAATCTGACATCATTTCTCCCTCGACCAGCCCTTGGGGTGCACCCATAGTGTTGGTTAAAAAGCACGACGGGTCCCTAAGGTTCTGTGTCGATTTCCGGCGATTAAATAAGATCTCGGTGGCCGATGCTTATCCGCTTCCTCGAATGGACGAATCGCTGGATGCCCTCGCGGGATCGCGATTCTTCTCCACTTTGGATTTGCTCTCAGGATTTTGGCAACTTCCCTTGGACGACGAATCTAAGCCCAAAACAGCTTTCCGAACGCCGCACGGCCTCTTCCAATTCAATCGCTTACCCATGGGATTACACTCTGCTCCCGCGACGTTCCAGCGCCTGATGGAATTGGTTCTCGCTGGCTTGCAATGGGAGGTGTGTTTGATTTACCTGGATGACGTTATCGTATTCAGTAAGACGTTCGAGGAACATCTTGATAGGCTTCGGGCCGTCTTTCTCAAGATGCGCGCTGCTAATTTGAAATTCAAGCCACAAAAGTGCCATTTGCTGCGCGAATCTGTTAAATATTTGGGTCACATCGTCGGCCGGTCAGGCATCTCAACCGATCCCGCCAAAACGCGTTGTGTCAGCTCCTGGCCTACTCCCACCTCGGTGGGGGAGGTTAGAAGCTTCATCGGATTTGCTTCATATTACCGCCGGTTTGTCGCGGACTTTGCTTCCATCGCTAAGCCACTACATGCCTTAACGTCAAAAGGGGTCAAATTTCATTGGGGGCCGGAGGAGGACGCCGCTTTTATCTCTCTTCGGGATGCCCTGGTGGGGGCCCCGCCGTTAAGCTACCCCGATTTTTCCATGCCCTTCGTGCTCGACACGGACGCAAGCAATACCGGGATTGGAGGCGTGCTGTCACAAATTGTGGGTGGCGTGGAGCGCGTTGTGGCTTATGGTAGTAGAGTATTGTCTCCGGCCGAGCAGCGGTACTGCGTCACCCGCCGCGAACTGTTGGCTATCGTGTTCTTTATCCAACAGTACCGACCATATCTGTACGGCCGGCATTTCACCGTCCGTACAGATCATGCGGCGTTGCAGTATGCCCTACGAATTAACCAGCCATCGGGGCAGTTGTCCCGATGGCTGGAGATCATGCAGGATTTCGATTTCGAGACAACTTACCGAAAGGGGATTCGCCACACCAATGCCGATGCCCTATCACGCCTGCCGATCGCTCCGGATTGCACTTGTTTCTTGGGTTCGGGCCGTTGCAAATCGGCAAGTGACGGCCGGGATCGGGTTCTTGCGGCCGCAGTTGACACCCCTTCGGACGCTGGTCCTATTTCGGGGGGAGGGAAAGATTCCCTACTAGGCTTGTCAAGTGCTGAGTGGGGTCGCCTCCAAATGGAGGATGCGACCCTCCTGGTGCTACGACGTCGCGCGGAAGGATCAGGTCAAGGGAAGTCGGGCGTTGACTCATGGGGGTGGTGCCAGGGCCTACTCATGCATTGGGACGGGACGATCCGCCGTCACAGGCTGGTGGTGCCTTCCACGTTGAGGGGTAGGGCTGTATGGGCTGCTCATGAACGGCTCCTGCACCTGGGTACCCTCAAAACACTTGCCATGCTCCAGCTTAATTACTTTTGGCCGGGCATGGCAAGAGACGTGGACGATCTGCTGCAGTCCTGTACCCAGTGTGCACAACGGAAGCCGCCAGCAAAGGGAGCCAGTCCACCGCTCCAGTCTATTTCGGTCACCCGGGTTAATGAGCTGGTCGCCCTTGATATTTTGGGACCGTTTCCTTCCACGCCGAGGGGTAATAAGTACCTGCTGGTTGGCGTAGAATATTTCACGCGATGGCCTATGGCTTGGCCCCTCGCCAACCAGTCCGCAGCAGCCGTTGCGGAGGCTTTTGTTCAGGGCTACGTCCTCTACAAGGGCGCTCCGGAACGGTTGTTGACCGATCAGGGAAAGAATTTCACTAGTACCCTTTTACACGAGGTATGTGGCCTTCTGGGTACAAAGAAAATTCGTACCTCACCTTACCATCCACAAACGGATGGGATGGTGGAACGCCTGTATAGGACTCTTACGTCCATGCTATCCCACCAGGTATCTGAGTCCCAAACCGATTGGGATCTACGGATCGGGAGAGTCCTGGCAGCATACAGGATGGCTCCTCACGCGGCGACCGGATTCTCGCCATTTTTTTTTATGTATGGCCGCGAGGTTGACCCGCCTGTCGCGACTCAGCTGACGATTGCCGCGCCTCATGCTAAGTCCAAACTCGCGGACCATGTTAAATTTAACATCCTTCGGTTGGCGGAGGCACGGCAGGCGGCCATGCAAAACTCTGACTCTCGCCAGAAACAAAACGAGAGATTGCGATCGCGCCGGACACACACGCACGAATGGCACCCGGGCGACCGAGCATGGTTGCACTGCCCCCAGGTGCCATTGGCCACCTCGGCTAAGTTGTTGCGACCATGGAGAAGCCCCGTAGAAATTGTGCAGGTTATGCGGCCTCAATGTGTGCGCATTAAGTGGGGGAAGCGTCGGTGGTTTGTGCATCCTTCACGGTTAAAGCCATTTTTTGCTCCGCACGCTTCCTCTCACGAAAATGGCCGAACATGTGGGAAGTCCACTGACTCCGGGAGGGCGGGGTCGCCGCCAGCCTCTGATCCGCTAATGACTGTCCCGTCTTCAGGAGCCCCAGGACTGAAGCCCTCTTGGCTGCCAGCCTCCCCCATGGGGGTCGGCGCTGGCACGTCCGAGAAACCGGACGACCAGGCACCTGCAGATGCGACACCTGCCGCCGACTCTACCAAGCCGGCCCCTTGTGACGGGCCCGCTGCACGGACACGCGCCAAAACGCGCCGGTTGTTATGAATAGCTTTCCGCGCGTGTTCCGTTGCTGCGGAACCCGCTCATTATATATTTTTTTTGTTTGTGTGTGTGTGTGTATGGATGCTTCTTGTGCGTGGGGATGGCGAACCGCGTTCTGTATATGTGTTGCATTTTTGGGGAGGGGGTTTTTATAGGGGACCATCGGTTGTTGTTACACTTGTTCTTGTTATTGTTACTGTTACGAGGCACACGTGTGTTGACTGTGTTAATCTTTATTCTTGGGGGTTGAGGGATTGTTGCAGCCGGGACGGCTGCGAGCTGTACAGGGGGGGGTGATGTAGGGATTATTACGGGAGAAACGGCGGACAACAAACACAGGGGTGTTGGCACTCACATACACGGGTGGTCACACCGACGTCCGCATCCGTTATTGCCCACGCCCCCAGCCCTCGGAGGTGATCCCTATAAAAGGTGGAGACCCAAAGAGCTCGAGGCAGTTCGACACGAAGCTGACCAGTGAAGATCCAAGACTCGGAGATTAGGCCCTGGGACTCCCCGGTCTCGCCGTCCTTATAAGGGCCGAGCCGGGTAAGCCAGCGGCGCGGCCCAAAAGCTTCCAGACCGCTGCCCTTATCAGGGCAAGGCTGGTTAGCTGGTGCCGAGATCTGTGCTTGCCAGGGCCAGATCAGTCAGCCTCCCGTAGCCCAGTAGAGGAGGACTGGGGAACAGGACAGGGGGCTTAGTACTAGGGTGGGTTTCCCATAGTACGGGTGAAGGGGCCGATACCCCTTCAACTATTGTGCCTGTCCCTGGGTTAATAAACAGAGTGTGCCTCAACTTCGACATCGTCTCCTCGAACTTACTACACTAGCACGGTACATTTAATTAAAGCGTGTTTTTTAAATATTACTTATCTCGTACAGGGGTCGGCAAACTGCGTCTCTTTAAGGACGTATCGTAATCACATTGTATTGACGCTCTTGAAGTATTTAATTTTGTAACCGAATTCGAAAAACAAATGGCTCTTGTCGTTAGTTTGGTTTGACGACCCCTGGTCTAGTAGTAGTACGTGGCCTAACCCCCCAAAAAAAACAATATTGATCATTGTGTTGGGGGCCGTCCATAAATGACGTCACGCACTGGGGGGGGGGGGGTCAGACATTTGTGACGATGTGTGACGAGGGGGGGGATTTGGGAAATGTGACGTCACATCAAAATGCGCAACTTTAAATAAATATAGACAACACGTTCTACTTAATTAAATAGACTTTTTAATAAATGTTTTCTCCTATAACATCAGAGTGCAGTGCCACATTAAATACGCACTACAATGACAATAGTTTAAAGCGATTTGAAGCATGTTTTTTTTGGGGGGGGGAAGGGCAGAGCTTTGTGACGTCATATTTGAGGGGGGGGGTCTGACTTTTTGTGATTATGGAAGGGGGGGGTCAAAAATCGTCCAAAATCGCGTGACGTCATTTATGGACGGCCCCATTGGCCACGAAAACCTACGTTTTGTATGTTATGCATGCGCGTTGGAACTTCTTTCGTACCGTACGTGGAGGGGTTTGAGAAATGTGCCGTCACATCAAAATGCGCAACTTTAAATAAATATAGACAACACGTTCTACTTAATTAAGCAGACTTTTAAATAAATGTTTTCTTCTACAACCTCAGAGTGCAGCGCCACATTAAATACGCACTACAATGACAATAGTTTAAAGCGATTTCAAGCATTTTTATTTGGGGGGGGGCAGAGCTTTGTGACGTCATATTTGAGGGGGGGGGGTCAAAAATCGTCCAAAATCGCGTGACAGTCATTTATGGACGGCCCCAAAGGCCACGAAAACCTACGTTTTGTATGTTATGCATGCGCGTTGGAACTTCTTTCGCACCGTACCTCGAGGCAGTGAGGGCCTCTGCATGCCCAGGGCACGTGGCTTTGCTGGGCCATGTAGGTGCCCAGCGGGACTCCGTCTGGGCCCACCACCTTCTCACGCAGGTGCTCCTTCAGGGCAGAGAGCTGCTTCCTCACGCCGCCCATGCCTCTCTCCCAGGTGGAGCGTGGAGGTGTTGGAAGAGGAAAGCCAACATTGCCAGGTCCAGACGATGATGATGATGACGATGCGATGCTTCGAACGATGAAGTTCGCGTAACGGCGTGGCCGAAGCCACGCGCTTATCAGCATGGCTTTGAACGGTCACCAACTAAATACAATTTATTATTTGTTCTTTCGGTAAAGTCACGTAGAAGGGAAATACAAAAATAATTTATTTTTTATTATTTCCCTTCTACGTGACTTTACCGAAAGAACGAAGAATATGAATCCAAGCTTTAAATCGAAAATTTAAGAAAATGGTCTTAAGATGACAAATTCTCGCGCTTTCAGATGCGCTTCTGCGGCCGTCTGGAACGTTCCTCCGGTATTGGGCAGGCACTGGAGCTCTGCTCGAGATGGATAACTTTGATTTATTTTATAATTTATTTAGAACTGCTTTTTTGCATTTAGCTTGTCATGCTCCCTTCTCCTCACACCTCCAATTAACACGATTGGCTACGTACGATGCGAAATAGGTTACGCACGCAATTCGAGAACGAACACGTTCACGTATCTTTCACACTAAACACCCGGGGACCTCTCTCCTTGCTCCACACGCCGGTGGGGAGAGGTCTTCGCTCTGTCTCATCCGCACGCGAACCGCGACCTCTGGGGCCGATCCTCTCGACCAATGGAGCCGCGGGTGTTTATTGTTTTTATAACATCGCCGACTCCGCGTCTACCATCTTAGGTAGGGGTGGGCGGGGAGAAGTGGAACCTTTGCGATGGGAGTCATCCACAACGTGTGCCGTCTGTTGCGTTGTGGGGTCTTGTCGTGCCTCCCTACCTAAGATGGCGGTAGAGACCTCTAACCAGATGCGTTGTGGGGTCTTGCCGTGCCTCCCTACCTAAGATGGCCACGTTGTGGGTCTTGCCGTGCCTCCCTACCTAAGATGGCCGCGTTGTGGGGTCTTGCCGTGCCTCCCTACCTAAGATGGCCGCGTAGGCCTTCCAACCAGTTTCGTTGTGGGGCCTAACTGTTCATCTCCTCACCCTGCCCAATGCCCCTACCTAAGATGGCGGTAGAGACCTCTAACCAGTTGCGTTGTGGGGTCTGGCCGTGCCCCCAACCACCACCCCTACCTAAGATGGCGTCGGAATCCTCTAACCACAAATGCATTGCAGCGCGCACGCCCCTTGCGTCTGTCATGGATCGATTCTTTTACCGTCGTCTCGCAACAGGAATCGAATCGTTTGCGTTCAATTACAAGTAGCCGCAGTCGATTTCTTCGAATCGTAAAGGGGTTGAACGTTCGTTCGGAATCGATTCCGTGGATTATAAATAGTCGGAGTCGAGAATCGAGGGAGCGAGTCGGCATGTCCGACATGGCAGCCGCCCTGGGCCGGCTCGTCTTCCTTCTCCTCCGCGGACCGTGAACAGCCGCCGCTCCCGCGATGCTCGCCGCGTGAACGTGCCCGAGCAACAGCAACATCAGTAACATCATTAACAACATCAACGGACAAACATCTCCCTCAGTTAAAGGGATGGACACCGTTCGTCTCGACTTCCCGGCGTTGCCCGCCGCAAAGGCCGAGGAGACCGGGGTGCGTACGGTTTTGCCCTACCGAGGGAGGCGCGTCGCGAGCGGTAGGGGATTCTAGGCCAGGCCGGGGATGGTGTCGAACGCTTGGGCCCGCGCGTTTTGTATTAGTATTTCGTTTAGTTAACACTTTGTTTATTATAATAAATAAACCAGTTTTCTTTAGAAGTCGGCGCCGGTTAAAGAGCGCGTTGTTTAACTAATCACTGGGGGAGAACAAGCCCGTTTTTTGTTCAAGGTGGGTAAAATTAGTGTATCCTTTGTACTCATTGGAACGAGATTAATACAATGGTCATGCCGACCAGCACCATAGGAATGTGGGGTTGACGCCACTGGCCCAATTTCCTTCAGCAAAGACACGCTGACTGTTATAATGTTGACGTCAATCTAAGGCCGAGCAAGCTCTCGGTCTGAATACGAGTGAAATTATCTGTTTCAGGTCCGTTCAGACCCCGTCATTGTTATCTGCACCTTCCACATCACATCAAATACTCACCACTAATCAACTGTTTTAACCATCACTACCACCACCTTAATAATTATTACCACCACCACCATGACAACAATCTTCAATATTACTACTATAGCATTGGGATCATTAATGGAATGCGCATTATAAATTTTAATTAGTATGATAACTATCCATCACTGTTCAATACCACCATTACCATATTCACCGTCATAACCAATATGTTCAACAAAATCACTGTCATTGCCACTAACCATATGGTCATGACCACCACCATCAGTCACCCCCCCCCCCCCCATATGGTGAGCTGCTTCACTTGATCCTAAAAACTGTAAGGTATTACTGGCGAATCGTCGTACTCTTAATTGTAAATGTTGTGGATTTTCTCTCCAACACACCAGTGTGCTGTACCAGTAACGAATTTGCATGTTCTGTTTACGTGACAAACCTTACTCATTGGCTCTGTCGGGTGGTTGCATATTTCACGACACTTTGCTATATTTATGCGATCTAAACCAAACAAAAACCTGTTTTACGGATACTATAAGCTGTTTGTATCTGTTGAGGTTTGCCTCGACTGGCCATAGAAATGTATTCATCTATGAATAACACTGGCTGGTGATAACCTCTTTCTCTGTGGAGATGAGCACTCGTATGTTTTTTTGGGGGGTCTTTTAAACAAAACGTAAAATAATCAAATGCATGAGGGCAAATTGTAAATGTTGCGATAAAAGTGACTGTGGACTAGTTGTACGTTGACAACACTGCTGTGTTTATATTTTTTCAGGACTGGACTTACACCATGAGAAGAGACATGCAGGTTCGTGTCTTCTACTTGTCTGCCAATTTTGTCTTCGTGTCCAGACCCAACTAAATCGGCGAGCACCTATCATAGTGGGCCCATCCCAGTATATTTATACACATTGACTATTTCCAGTTTAACTGAATAATTAAAGCACCTTTAGATATTTTGGCCATCATTTCCACCAAAGTTATCTGCTTTAACAATGGGTGTAATAGGTGTATTTAATCTGATAGTATCATGTCACAATGCTACAATTGTGATACAATTAGCAAGTACATTTTTTTATTTGTACGAATTTGGGCCTTATAATGCCTTTGGAGCCCCCTCAGCCCCCCTGGAGGGCTGCCGAAGGACTCTGGGGCTCCCCTGGAGTGTCAAAGGAGGCCTCTGGGGCCCATGTAGCCCACCTGGAAACTTGGATATAATAGCAGATTGTGGGCTCATGAGCTTACATTATTTGTCAATTTTCTTAGAAGTAATAGCTTTAGAGGAAGGTTGGTCATGCTCCATATGTGTTCCTTGTGGTTATTAGCATCCTCGCTTCTCAAGCCAAGGTTTATCAGCACATTAAATCGCTGTAGAGACATTTTGAATGGTCGCCCATGTTTGATATTGACACGCGGCACTCCTGCCAAGAATAGAGGCATCACGCATCCGTCTCGTGGCCAAGAAAGTTTATTCTCGGTGTCTAGATTCCCCCACTGGAGGATGGGATCCGGGGCATGGTTTTCTTCAACAAGCTGCCTTCAACCCAACAGAGTTGTAGCATAGACAAAAAACAGTGCTTGGTTAGTCATGCTTTGGCGTTGTGAGCAAAGCTTTGGGGTTTAAATTCAGCAGGTTTGTAAAGAACGACACACACTGCTGACATTTGTGTGTATGTTACATACAACTTAAGTGGCTAGTGATGGGATCACTTTCTGGTTGTGTTTTTAATGTTTGCATGACTTGACTATGGATAAGTATATTGAGCCAACTATCCAACAAGCTACAGCTGGTTTGTGTATTGTTCATGTTAGGTAGTCGTGGCTACATTAACACTTTAGGGATGGTGTAGATTTTTAACCCTGCAAATGTAAAATTCCTGGCAGTATGCGCAAGGGGAAGGAAAGTGCAAGGTATTGTTATGTGAGCCACAAGGTCAAGTCATTACATTACTGCATTGTAATTTTACCAGCTATGACTGTAATTGACATTGATAAGGGATACATAAATTTCGATTTAAAGCTTTCGTGACTGCAGGGATTCATCTTCTTGGTTCTTTCGGTAAAGTCACGTAGAAGGGAAATAATAAAAAATAAAACCTAATAAAATAATTCTCACGACGTTTCGGCCACAACGCAAGCATCCGTCCTCAGGTGAAGAACAGGTCTATTATTTCCCTTCTACGTGACTTTACCAAAGAACCAAGAAGAAGGGATACATACTAATAATAAAATAACATTTTGGTTAGTAAGAACCAAGATGAGACAGCTCTGTTCATACAAAGTGATGAGCAGGAAATACTCTCAGTTTGCTAAGCATTAATTTTCATGGTGTACAATCAAAGCATCAGGCCTTGTAAACGTGTTCGCTGCAAATGAGAATTTACAATTCATAATTTTGTTTTGTCTTTCAGGAGATCTTACCGGGCTTGTATCTGGGACCCTTCTCTGCTGCCATGCGAAGCAAGGTGACTCGTGGAAATGTTAATAATTTCTTAAATATTGATTTTCATAGGTGTGGCTGTTCTTACGTGCAATATGCGTCTTTCTTGCGTTTCCTAGTGGCCAATCTTGGAAAGCCGAGGAATAACGCACATCGTGTGTGTCCGGCAAGACATAGAAGCCAACTTTATCAAGCCAAACTTCCCTGATTGTGTACGGTAAGTCGATTGTTTTTTTCGTTTCATAATAATGCTGATGTATGCTGGTGTTATCTTTACGATACATTATTTGCTCGTAGGCAATTATACAAGTTGGACAATCTCAGAGTGATAGTGTCAATCATCCTTTAATGCATATCAGCTGTCATTTTGAAGGTCACGTTGTTTAGTTTTGGAAAATATGGCTTATGCAATAGGTGAATGATTGGACCTGTAAACGAAACTCAATTCACCATTGCCAAGCGTGGTTGAAAAAAGTAATTTGTCTATAAGTGACAATGATATTTCTCGGGATTGAACCATTTTAAAAAAAGGTAATGAAATTAAATTGTTATGTGAATTTCAGTCTTAATTGGTTGACATACTAGACCCACGTAAAAAGCCAATTCCTGATTTTACTAATGATTTGGCACATTTTTTAAGTGTCTGAAATTTACATCTTAAGTTGCAGGACTATCCACATTTTACTAAGACTCTGCTTTTATTGAATGTCACACTTAAAAATAATTTTTTTAACAACATTAATACAGTGTAAGTACAGTAAATTATTGACCATTATAACAATGTTTTTTTGCAGCTGTATAACACAGCTGCAAAAAAACATTCCCAGCTTTGCTTGGTAACCTTTATTTATTTATCCTGCATAGAGTATTTGTCATTGGTCTTCAGTTGTGTGCAGATATACTCTTGTTTGGCTTGCAAAAGCTTTTAAATGGCAGTGTTTGGTTATGTAAAAAAAGTTGTCATCGATTTTCCCAGCTTACAAAACATTACAACGCATTTGGTTTGTGTGCAGTTACTTGGTTCTGAACATAGCTGACAGTCCTGTGGATAACATCATCCGATACTTCCCAATGGTGAGTACTTTGACAGTAGCTTTGGACTAGAATTTTATACTTGGGTGCTTAACCCCTTTTGGGCTTGATCGATTTTTGTTCTGGAAAGTCTTTCTAAGAATTATTTTTAGTCATACAACTTGAATCCCCATGGGACTGAATCATCTCTTGGCGAATGTTCATTGTCACATTATTTTTTTTTGGCAAAAGTATAACTTTGTTTCCATTACTAACAATATGGCATGTTGCCGAGGATGAAGTATTTCAGTTTCCGCAATGTATTATTCTGTCGGCAGTTGCATAAAATCTTAAGTTATATTTTCTCCTTGGTTTGCAATGTCAAAAGGGGACTTTTCTACTGAAGGAATTTTACATGACTCGCTACCGGGCGTTTACGTAGAAAATTATAAGGCAGGTCGTTGTATCTTGCAAAGTTACATGTTGGGCAGCAGAAAAATACGTTGTCTTGTATTTCTACGCTTCCAAGTCTGCTGCCCACCTTTTACCAGCCTGCACTGACCAGTGTGGTGAAGTATGGTCAAATAAACCCCACGACTTGAACAGCAAATGGATGCCTCTCTTCCAACCGTTGATAAAGTTACATGTATGCCTCTATGTTCAAGTGGCTGTCAAAAGCAATCGTAGAATGACTACATTATGTCAATATTGCAACTTTAAAAATGTTACACGTGCATTTTTATACGTAGCTACGAGGCGGAGTGGTGAATCGTTAAGTAGCTAAGTGCAGTTGAATTTGTTTAGTTGTAAAAATGTGTATGTGGAATAGAGCTGTGAAGTGTTTGGGAGCAGTGGCTCATTGGTTGACCCACAGTGTTAAGAATCCTGCAACCTGAGTTCAATTCCTGCTCATGACCAATAACATGGGCGAATATTTGAACTGGTCCCTGACCCTCCCCTATGTCAACTCGGCCTTAAATGAGTACCTGGTGCGGTGTGTGAACATCAGCACTGGGCAGACAAAGGTGGCTCGGCATGGTGCCGGCCTCCATCCACACGTACGCTGTAAAAATAGTGAAACATAAGTACGTGCTTAACCGCCTTAGGGCTCGCTAACAGTACTTGCCCCAATAGTCTGTTAAGGATTTGGGGGGGGGGGGCTTTGTTCTGGATGGTTTTTGTGTGTTAATATGTAACCATTATAAAAAAACTTTTTAAAATTGTGTATTCTATTTAATTGTTGAAAATATGTTAAGTCACGCTTATTTTTCTTCGTGTTTGTGCCCATGATGGTTGCGTTTCAGACAAAAGATTTTATTGACGGATGTTTGCAAAGTGGAGGTAAGGCAGCTAGCCACCAAACCCTTAAGCACCAGTCAAACAATCTGCACATTGACTTTGTTTCGCTTGCAATTGCTTTGTTTTACGTTGTACACTTGGATAAGTGTTCGATTCTAAGGTGGCAAGTGGTGATAAGGCTGTGTACATTTTGACGAGTTGTTAACCTTTGCCGCAACTCGAATAGGAGTCCCTTTCTTGTTTTTACCCTCAGATGAGTTTTTTTTTTATAGCCACTGTTGACGGTGCGGTTTAACTCTCGTTTGTGTCTTTTGTGGGATCAGGGAAAGTTCTTGTGCATGGAAATGCTGGCATCTCAAGAAGGTATTTAAGCATTTTGTTGCAGCAATTGAAAAACAATGAATGTCGGACACCCTAGTGAAATACTCACTACTTCAGTTTTATTCAAAGTAAAAAAAGTCAGTTATTTATTACTCAAATGTTTATTACCTCTTTACAGCCCTGAGCCAGTAGTGGCGGTTATACGTTCCTATATGACAATTACTGTTGACTTGCCCCTACAAAGTGGTACTTATTTTATTGCCCCCTGGAAGGCGTGATGGGTTTCCACCCCAACCAGGTTTGGAACTTGCAACCTTCCGATTGCGAGCCGCTTGCTCTGCCATCAAGCCACCTGGCCCCGGATAGTTTAAGTTACAATAATTTAGGATATTCCTCCAAATGCAGGATAGTTTCCCAGTGACAACACACCCTCCCAGTTCCTCGTGTATGTATGTACACCTTATTTCACACTGTACATAGCCAACCGTATTAATCGGAGGTGCGGCGGAAAGACAACCTTCTGAACAAAAAATGCAGTTCTAAGAAATGAGTTTTCAATCGAGATTTTTTAATTGCATAGATCCAGCTGTTTCCTAACATCGGAAGGAAGAGAGCGTTCCAGACTGCTGCAGAAGCGCATCTGAAAGCGCGTGATGTGGTGATGTCCTCTAAAGCTTACGTCTTTGAGTTGCTCTTTTAAAAATAGATGCCAGATTTATATTTAGATGTGTTTTTCATTCATTTCTGTTTATTGTTTTTGCAGTGCTGCCCTTGTGATCGCCTATATTATGGAAACATTTGGACTCAAGTACAGGTTGGTTCGAATTCGGTTGTCACTTTCGTCATAATCAGCATGAGTCATGAGCTATCCACTGCTGCGTTGACACCTCCCAACTACTCATGCCACAATTCACCTTGCTCCTGCACGCTACCCAATCTTGGCTCCATCTCCGCAATGGATATCCTCTGATGCGTTCCCTTGTATGGTTGCCATTCCTTCAAATGTCTCAATTAAGTTTATCTCTCGTCTATTGTGGTTGCATATAACGACTATCGTTTGTGAACTACATATCGTTTTCTTCCATATTTACTGTGTGTGGTTCTCCTACTTATGGCATCTTCATGGTATACTTTTTGATCTTTATTCCGATAAATTTTTCTCACTTTTTATATTCCTCTGCATTCCATGTTTTGCCATTTTCATCCTGTTTCATATCTCATCTGCATAATCTGTTTTATGCTTTTATACAGTTTTAACAAGAACTAGATTTTTATTGTTACATTTAATGGTCTTTCTCCTAGCTTCATGGTGTAATAAATTTTAGGACTGTTACTTTCAATTGGTGCAATGGTGGTGTGCACATTGGTTAGCGCACTACCCTATGCACTTGGAAAAATGCGAGTTTGATCATTGTCCACGGCTAACATCAGTGGCGAGTGATATCCGAACCAGTCCTGGGCTCCTCCATTCCCCAACCCCCACTGATCAATGTACTGAAGGTATTGTTAAATATCATACATGACTTGGGAAAGCTTTCATCCAGCAGTGGATTGACATCGAGTGCTAAATCCTTTATTACTACGAATAAGCATATTTGATTATAGTTTCTACCAAATTCTCTATCAACTAAAAGCCATGTACACGTGCATTGCCATTGCTTTACGAAGTGCCACTTTGCATGTCAATAACAAATTGCCCAACATCGAAATCGTGATAGTCTTTTAGGCTTAAAAGTGGGAAAGCAGTTTTGTAATCGGGTGAAATTAATCACATCTTGTATACGTGACTCCCACATCATTATAACCTAGCACAACTTTCCTCCCGTCGTGAGTTTTAATTTCTCGCCTTGTTTTTCCTTGCTAGGGATGCGTTTGTTTACTTGCAGCAAAGAAGATTCTGTATTAATCCAAACGTTGGATTTGTGAACCAGCTACAGGTATGTTGTTCCTGAGTATAACATCTCGCTATTAAGCGGTAGTTAATATTTTTATGCATTCCCTAGGGTACTGATCCCAGGGTCAATAAAATCGCTGTCCACGATTCGGTATTGCTGCCATTATTCGTGATTAACACGGTGTTTCTGATTGACCTAACGTATTTTTATGACAGGTAAACGTTGGAAACGCTTATTCTCAAGATTACAAAATTAAAGCTCCTTTTAAAAATGCATTCTGTGTGTGTATGGTCGGCAACAGGAGTATGAAGCGATTTACCTGGCACGTCTTACCATAAAGAAGCTCTCTCCTTACGACATTAAACCTGCGCATGCACATGGTGAGACGCACCTCTGCTTGTTCAGAAGGTTAGGCGAATTGTTGCATCGCACGGCCATGAGAGGTGATGGCGGATTGGCGGAGTCCTTCATTCAGCAGTGGATTGACCAAGGCTGATGCCTGTTATGAATTACCGACAGTTCAGTGACTTCTCCTCTGTTTCCCTGCCGCGCTGTGAGATTGAAGGCCATGATCCACTGTCGTTGCCGCAGAGAAATATCTTTGCCACAGTGTGTCCTATTGTTCAAAGATCTTTGCCCCAAATCTGAACAATTCTTGCTCGAGCTGCCCCCTACTGGACAACGGTGTGTAAATTTACAATCGGATTGTAGATGGGGCGCACACGCAACTGCCAGACATCGCCCCCGATTAGCACGTTTGGCTACGTACGGTGCGAAAGAAGTTCAACATCCAGAAATCACGTTTTCTACACGTGTGAGAAAATTGCAGCTTCCAATTTCAGCGTGAGTGTGATCGAGACTGATGGAGCACAGAGAGCCTTTTGATAGGATTTTTTTTCTTATAAAATATTGTTGTATTGAGTGAGTGACTGACTAACTGACTTGTCAACAGTTGGCTGCATAAAGGAATGACTGTGTCCCCTAACTAGAGGATAGTACTAGGGCTTACTCCATCTCTAACACTGGTCAACAAAAAATAAACATTTTTTTCTGGCCTGGACTTTTGCAGCTGTTTTAGACTAATTTCAGGGTGCTGATTCCAAACCTGATCTCAGATTTGCTCTATCACATCATTTTTATGCTTTCGGCATACCCCATTTTCATTTATTTTACCCCAAATTAACTCTGTCACTTATGATTGCAAGTTGTTGCGAGTCAGTGACTGCTTTAGTGTTAAAATATGGTGCTGTATTTTTAGGATAATGTGTTTATAATATCATTTTATGTAGATATCCACATTGATTTAATATTTTTCTTCTGCAGTTTTTATTGAAAATTCAATATTTGATATCTCAAAAACTGATGTGATAGACAAAAACTGATGCCAGATTTGGAATCAGCACCCCAAAATTACCTTAAAACCGTTGTAATACCTTATGCCAGAAAAAGTGTGATCAATGTAATCAACTGGTTCATTCACAGACCTGAGATGAATCATTGTTTAACATTCACACTTTTAATCAAGGCTTCATTGTCTAGAGAGAACTGTCACTGCATTCTGCTGCCATCGTCGCTCATGGTGAATGCAATGCCAGCAACGATTGACCTGAAATTGCTGAAGTGGATCATGGGCTCAAGGTGAAGGATACATTTTGTATTGTATTGCTCAGGGTACCACACTGTGTGTGTGAGCGGTGGTGCAGTGGTTAGCGCACTGCTATGAACCCGGCAACCCGGGTTCGATTCCCGCTCACGGCCATCACCAGCGACGATTATTTGAACCAGTCCTGGGCCTCCTTGAAGTCAACTCGGCCTCAAATGAGTACCTAATGCGGTGTGTAACCATCGCCACTAGGGAGACAACGGTGACTGGGCATGGTGCTGTCTACCCACCCCTTCATGTGCAGTGCCGGTCGGCCTTCATAGGTACTCTCTAGCAGCGCTTGCCCCAACGGTCTATTAAGGCTATACGGGTGTGGGGGGGGGGTCTTTGTCTTTGTCTGTGAGCACAGGGTCCGGCAAGAGGATGCTGGAGGAGGATGAGGAGACCGATGCCCCCTCGTTGCACAACAGGTGACCCCCGCATGCCTGCATGGGCCAAGCAATACAGGGCGGGGGTGCTCGTTGGGAGGGGGGGGGGGATCTGTAGCGTGGTTCTCCACCATGGGCTTCCGTGTCTTTCGTTCGGGGGTGGTGGGTTTATTTACTTTTTTTTTCACAACACCGTTGGACTCCATGGATCGGCAGAGGACCCTGCGGTTGTTGCCAGAATCGAATTCTGAAAATGGTTGCTGAAATTATCTTGGCTGGGGGGGGGTGGGTGACGGTTTTGTGGGTGGAGGTCGCGCCATAGCTGTAGAGCGTTTAAAAAATTGTCAGGAAGTTGTTCCCAATTGTAGTCTCGGCTCGCCTAAGAGATGACCGTTTAGTGTAAATCTGCAGCCAAACAAACAAAGGGAGTGGGATGGCTGCACAACACAAGGCTTCAAAATCAACCTGGCACACACTGCAATAAAAACACACACGGAGGGTCCTCGAAATGACGTGGGTGATTGGCTTTTGGGTACCCCTCAGAATTGCAAAACGTTGGGGAAAAAGTAAAAATCGGCACCCCCAAAGCTCCAAAACTAAATGGCGTGCAGAGTTATGCAGACTCGTTGCTAGCTGGTTTAACACGTAGGCTTTCGCGACCAATATAGCACACCGCTGTGTTGGAGAGCAAAGCCACAACATTTACAATCTGAGTATGACGTTTTGCCAGTAATTACAACCAGCTTCATCAGGCAACAGCCAGATTTATGTAGAGCTCGTCTTGCTGTGTCTCGATGCGGCACAGAAATGTCATTCAAGTGCTATCCCAGTTTCAGTGCTGTTTATTTTTTTGCACTGCTTTTTAGATTTTTTATACAAAAAGCAATGCAAATTACATTTAAATCTGTTAATGGGTGAAATGTGGTAATCCTTTGACATCATAGGATTTTGTTAAGAAAACGGTAGATACAGGGGCACCTCCACCCACGAATTATCCCGGGATTTTAAGGACACAAGGAACAAGTGCATCTTATAACCTGGAGAATACGTTACACACCACGTTCGGCTTTTTGTTACGGTGTCCCGTCATTGGTTCAGAAATTCAACTCGGCCAAGCAGTCTCTCGGTACAGAACATTTTTTTTGTCTCTCATGTGATGTGGACTGTGCCTTTAACAAAATTATTTCCGTTTTCTAGTACTGTAAGAAAAAAGTCGGGGGGGGGGTTGGGGGGGAGGGAGGGAGAGGGTTGCGGAGACTTGCAAAGTAACAATAACGATGAATGCACATGTTTGCCTAAATTAAAATAAAGGTGCTATGTCTTTCTCCAAAAAAAATGAAATTTTGTTAAAGGAAGTTGTTGCTCCCAAACGTATCGGTTTCTTTTGTTCTTAACCTAATACAAGTTGTGGGGCTGCAGTTGCGTAAGAGTTTTGTTTCTAACCACTTTGTGAGCCGCCGTTGACGTGGCTACGTTCTGTCTCGTTTAAATCTGCACGAGTGATGCGTACAGCCGAAAAACTGGGAAGAATCGGTCGTAAGAGTACTATGAACAGAAATATAATGACCATTGTCATTGGGGTTTAATTCAAATTCTGTTAACGCATAAATAATAAAAAACTGGGCCAAATGCAGCTTCGATTTCCATGCAGTATTTCAAATTGTTTGGGCCATTCCTTTAAAGTGCAATCGTACTACATGGTGGCAACGTGGCGGTACGTAACTGGCATTAAGTCTGCGAGCACGTTTTGATAATCTGATTTCTAAGTAGTTTTCACCCGCTCAATTCTATATTCCCCCCTGTCCCAAGTGTTCAACTGGTGCTAAAGATTCAGTATAAGATAATGCCACGTTGTGTTATGTAACTAAAAACAAATGTAGGAAAAATTAACCGTCAAGACCATTTGGTCGTGACTGAAGAGATGAGCACAACATGCCCCAAGTGGTTTGTAAAAAAATACATTTGGGCGAGTTGAAATGTTGTGAATGCTGCATTTAACCTGGAATGTGACGGTCAATAAGTGCATTTCCATTCGAAACTAAAATGATGCATTACCTATATAGATTTGGAATTGGGCTCACTGCTGCTATGTTTGACGAGCGATTATATAAATTTCCACGGGGCAAAATAATGAGGTTATTTAACCCCTATGTGAGGAATGTCATACGAGACAAATGGAAAAAAAAATACTCATTGCAAGGGAGACGCTTACAAATATAATTTGACTGTTTTATATTTTTTTTGAGAAAATATTTCCCAAGAACTCTAATGACACGCAATATTTTTTGATTAATCTAAAAACGGAACACTTTTTTAAAAATCTGCTACCTTTGTTTACAATTTTTAAATTATATATATATCAATGACTTAATTTTTGAATTGAATGGATGTTAAAAGGCATGTGGCATGACTTGCGCTAAATGTGTTGGCAATACCCCCAAGTACGTAATGTCAACCCTCTGTTAAACAAATGATTTCCGTATAATTGTCCATTTTAAATAATCGTTTTGCAAACTGTATTATACCTGGTTAATTTTTCATGTGTGGACACAATTATTAACCTATGATCAAAAATACCAATGTCAGCGGACATGCATGCATTACGTCCGCACCCACAGGGCATTACAAAATGTGTGATAACAAAAGTGAAATATATAATTAACCTCATTTTACGAAAGACACTAATCCTTGTAACATTTGCAGTAATCCATTAAGTCTGTGTACACTTCTAAAATGTAATGCCTAAATTCTATTTGACGACCACTTTCGTGCGTGCGTGTATTGTATGCGTGTAGAATCTGTGGAACTGTTTCAAAATGAAATATCTCCATCCGATAATTTAAGTGTTTGTAAATTGTGAGTCGGGTCAAACCTGGCAGCAGCACATCACTTTTAATTGTGCAGACCACCAACATTTTCTGGAGCCTCGGCAGATCGAATATCCAGTAACGTATCCTAGTACTAATTTGACATGGCTCTGTATAGTTTCAACAACAAATTAAATATTGGTATCGTAATATAGTTTTCGTTGTCGACGCAGTTACCACCAAGTCATGCTACATGTCCTTCAAATGAAATTTGATTTTAAAGAGGAAAAGGATTAACTTGAGATGCAAAAAAGAAACAAATTTAAGAGAAAAAAATATGCTGTTTTGAAGTTTAAAATATTTATTTTAATATTTGCGTTTTTAAAAAAACTAAAAACCTAAAAAAGGATAAAAACAACAAACACATTTCTTAGGATTTTGCATTGCATAGATGTCAGGAGTTAGACATTGGTGTTACTGTAGTGGTGTTTACTGTAGTGTGGCATTTAATTTGTGCAAATGAGCCTATAGCATTGATGCGTGTCAATTGTTTTGTGTTTATGTTGTAAAAAAATATTAAATAAAATGGTAAAACAAAGCAAATGAAATTCCAATTGTTTCCTACTATTGATTGTGGCTTTTTGAGTGCTCGCTGAAAGCATTTGCACCTCCGGGACTCGTGCAGTGTTTCTCGGAAGTTGAATACCGCACCGTCAGTACAAAAGTTGCGTGAATGAACACAGCACATACGGTGCTTACACTCCTTAAAAAGAAAGTATGTAATAGGTGACGTTTTGTATGTATGTTGAACAACCACAATAATCGGAGGTGCGGAGGAAGGACAAACTAAAATGCAAAAAGCAGTTGGAAAGAAATGGATCTTTGGGCAATCGCCCTTCGGTGCACAATGTCGTGTTATTGACGAATGCCAATTTTTATTGTACACCACTGCCAACGCAGCAGAATTGGCAAATGTTTGAATGAACACAGGGCAATTCTTGTTCTCAGTGGAATGATTATAATAATTTGCTTATCCAGGAAATCTGCACTGAATTGTAGGACTTTTTTCAGAAGGGTCCTGCCACATTGAATGTTTATTTTGCACTGGATTTATACTTGTGTAATGTGAGGATATATCCGGCTCACTGACGTATCACAACTCGTCATGGTGATTGGCTCTGCCGGTCCTGGTTTATAGCCAATGGGGGGAAGCCTGGGGGCGTGGCCCTGACGTAATGGAAAGGTGACAGCTGTAAGTATTGGTTCTGCTGGCTCTGGCCACAGCCAATGGGGAGAGGAGTCAGGGGCGTGGTCCCGGGAGCTTACGAGGGGGCCTGGAATATTGCATGGAGGCTAACGAGGATTGGCGGAAATGTACCACGTGACCCGGGTATTAAATAGGGGTGGAGACGAACGACACGTGGGCAGAAGGGGAAGAACAGAGGAAGGGGGCCACGCGGGAGCGGAGCTCCGGGTTGCCACGTGGCAGTGCGTCTCTCTCTATCTGTCCCTCTCACGCTGCCTCTCAGCAGCGTGAAGGAAAGCTGTAATACAAGTTGAATAAAAGACGGATTCCAGAAGTCGCCTCAACGAGCTTTATTACACTTGTAAGATGTTTTCGGCCAAATACTGATGAGTGGGAAGAAACTGGAGCGCCCGGAGAACTCCCACATTGCGTGAGGGGGTAACACCCTATCCCCGTACAGATGGAAACGGATGGCGATTAGACCACTTTCCGTACCGCCTCCTGGTGAGCCAGGGTACGGCACCTGGACACTCGCGGAAAGGAAGTTTCACATCTGTGTGGTGATCCGCCAACCCTCGTCACTTCGAGAGCTGGATTGCAGGCCATGTGCTCAGCCAGAACCACCACCGCCTGGTTCAGTATCCACCACAGATTTCAACATGTAGCGTGTCCACAATAGCATGGACAAATATATAACAGTGTCCTGCATATAATGGGAGGTTTCTGGAAGCCCTAATTAAAAATAATGTTGAAAGCGGTTTAAAATCGCACTACCGAAGCTCAAAAATCTAAGAAGTGCTGCTGACTTTGGCGTCCTGTGGTCTAACACCGTTTTGAGACGAGGCTCAAAAGAAAGCTGTCTGGTGTGGACCAATCAGTTTCAAAGACGATGCATATATTACACTGGTCAACAGAAAACATTTTTTTCTGGCCTGGACTTTTGCAGCTGTGTGCTGATTCCAAATCTGATCTCAGATTTGCTCTATCACATCTCATTTTTATGCTATCGGCATACCCCATTTTCATTGATTTTACCCGAAATTAACTCTTGTCACTTATGCTTGCAAGTTGTTGCGAGTCAGTGACTGCTTTAGTGTTAAAATATGGTGCTGTATTTTTAGGATAGTGTGTTTATAATATCATTTTATGTAGATATCCACGTTTATTTAATATTTTTCTTCTGCAGTTGTTATTGAAAATGCAACATGTTATATCTCAACAACCTGATGTGATAGACAAAAAGTGATGCCAGATTTGGAATCAGCACCCCAAAATTACCTTAAAACCGTTGGAATACCTTATGCCAGAAAAAGTCTGTTGACCAGTGTTATAAGACGCTTTTTGTTTGCATTCTGACCACAAGCATTGTGGTGAATGCAGACATGATTCCTTGTAAAAGGTTTCAGTTTGGTGTTTTAACATATCAACACCTGTTTTGTTGCCAGAAAAAAGGGGAAAACCTATTCTCAATCAAAGTTCCATACAGTAACTAATGTAACATTGGATTGTGTTCCAGAAATGGTGTAATTTCTTTTGGTGGTTTTAGTGATGTGTTTTTCTTTACCTATTTTATATTTCTAGTTATATTTAGGTAATCTGAAAGTAAATCGTGGGCTAAATTTTGTCGTTATAGAAATTATGGGGTTCTGTGAATAAAATGCATGTACCCCACCCCTAAATTGACGCAGTATTTCAAGGATGCACTCTGCTGACAATCATTGTGCCCGATTAATGTTTTACGCTTAATACGTGCGGACATATTCAAGGGCAATCTGTGCATCCTAAAGTCAAGTGACCTTGGAGACAACCGCAAACCTTTTGTCGCAATGCTGTAATTTTTGTGGTGAGACCGCTTAGGTTTTCATCTGCCTAGAGTCCCTTGATGGCTAATGCCTGCAAACCCTGCCAGGCAGTGAACTTTGAAGGACATCCTTCAAGTCAAGCTATGATAACACTGGTCAACACACTTTTTCTGGCATAAGGTATTTCAACGGTTTTAAGGTAATTTTGGGGTGCTGATTCCAAATCTGGCATCAGTTTTTGTCTATCACATCATGTTTTTGAGATATCAAATATTGCATTTTCAATAAAAACTGCAGAAGTAAAATATTAAATAAATGTGGATATCTACATAAAATGATATTATAAACACACTATCCTACAGCACCATATTTTAACACTTTTAACACTAAAGCAGTCACTGACTCGCAACAACTTGCAATCATAAGTGACAGTAAATTTCGGGTAAAATCAATGAAAATGGGGTATGCCGATAGCATAAAAATGAGATGTGATAGAGCAAATCTGAGATCAGATTTGGAATCAGCACCCTGAAATTAGTCTAAAACAGCTGCAAAAGTCCAGGCCAGAAAAAAAATGCTTTTTTTTTTGTTGACCAGTGTAATTTAACGAAGGTGCCTGATAGGGAGCTACATTTTCAACATACATTGCTGGATGAAGGGTCTCCCCACTAAATTCGCTATTCGTCACCAGCGTCTGAGCTGGTGTCATCACTCCATCCGCGGTGGTCGACCTCGAGTGATTCACTCCTTTGACTGCCATTCTATCACCAGTCTCATCCATCGGCCAACCTCAAGTATCGTGATGTTTCCTGCAGAAGCCCACGTTTCTGGAGTCAACTTGAAGTCTTGATTTGTATTTGTTCCTTGACCCGCATATTTTATTCTCGCATTGTAATCTCAGTCGTGCATCTCTCCGTGCTTATTTGCACGCTTCCCATCGTTAATTCCCTTTTATTCATCATCTTCCATGTGTTTTCATGTATGTCAAACCTGAAAATATGCACTGATTTTACATTATAAAGCCAGGAACCTAAAATCAATGCTCACATGCAGTGAATACAATGGTGGTTGTACAGTACTATGCTCCCACATCTATGCTCCTTGCTGCCTTTGCCAACTCGCACTGACCAAAATGGTGAAGTATGGTTAAATAACCCCGACAGCCTGCATGGTGTTGGGAGGGTCTCTTTTCCAGCTGTTGATTGACAAAGGGAGTGCATATGTTTTATGGTATTTCAAGGTGCTCTGCAGTGAGAGCATTGGATTGGTAATGTGTTCACATCTCTACATACCACCAATTACATATCGCCAATCACGCATCTGTACATATCACCAATCAATAATTTGTACATCACCAATGGCATATCCGTGTGTGTCACCAATGACACACAGATATCTGTACAAATTATCAATCAAGCGCATACCTGTACATATCAACAATCACATCTGTACATATCACCAATAACCTTTCTGAACACATTCTCAATCAATCACACAGCTGTACATGTTACCAATCATATCTGTACATATCGCCAATCACATGTCTGTACACATCACACATCTGTACATGTCACCAATCAATCACACATCTGTACACGTTACCAATCAATCACACATCTGTACACGTTACCAATCAATCACACATCTGTACATGTTCCCAATCAATCACACATCTGTACATGTTATCAATCATATCTGTACATATCACACATCTGTACACGTTACCAATCAATCACACATCTGTACATGTTCCCAATCAATCACACATCTGTACACGTTCCCAATCAATCACACATCTGTACACGTTCCCAATCAATCACACATCTGTACATGTTCCCAATCAATCACACATCTGTACATGTTATCAATCATATCTGTACATATCACACATCTGTACATGTTACCAATCAATCACATATCTGCCCACATCAGCAATCCACTGCCGTCACAGCAATTCCGCTGTGATCCACTGGGGGGCGTTGCCCAAGATAAGAGCACCACCACCACCATCTCCCCCACCCAGCATCAGCTCCTGCAGCAAGCAGCAGAAGCAGCGGCCATCCCTTGACACAGTCTTGATGGTGTTGGTGTTGTTGTTGTTCTAACAAATCGATAACTAACAATCTCTGATGGCGAGCCGGCGTGTTGTGGCGTCTCTGGGCGCGCTGCTGCTGCTGCCGCTGTTGTTGTTGTCATCGCTTGTGGCGGCGGTCGCGGCAACGAAGGGCGGCGTGGAGGTGGTGGCCGATGACGACTGGAGGAAGATCCTGGAAGGGGAGTGGATGGTGGAATTGTGAGTGCGGGTTGTGGGTGATGGTGGTGATGGTGTTGTCTTCCTGTAGCGAGCGATGCGTGGTGAAGTATGGTCAAACGAGCTTCGTAAACTACAAGTCGGGGAGGTCATCATCCAGCAGTGGATTGAACATGTCGATGGTGATGATAATGGATTGACGAAAGGCACGGGGTACAATGATGGCAATGCTTTAAAGCTTTCGTGACTGCAGGGATTCATCTTCTTGGTTCTTTCGGTAAAGTCACGTAGAAGGGAAATAATAAAATAATTAAAATAAAACAATACAATAATTCTCACGACATTTCGGCCACAACGCAAGTAGCCGTCCTCAGGTGAAGACCAGGTCTGTCGGGGACTTTACCGAAAGAACCAAGAAGATGGCAATGCTGTGTAATGAAATAGTATGGGTCATGTTCAATCCACTGCTGGACTAAGCCCTGCCCAATGGAGCGACAAAATTGTCTTGGGGTTTGCAAGATCGTAAGGTGACTTGGGGATTATTAATTTTATATTCTTGGTTCTTTCGGTAAAGTCACGTACAATGGAAATAATAAAATAATATAATTATAAAACAATAAAAATGCTCATGACGTTTCGACTGCAACACAAAGCAATCATCATCAGGGGTGAAATCCACAGCAAGAAAATTTGGAAAAAAAACCAAGAATATGAATTCCTGCAGTCACGAAAGCTTTAAATCAAAAGATTATTATAATTTTTTTAAATCAATCCAGCGGTGGGTTGACCATGGCTGATGATGTGTCCGTACTGTGCATTGCCGTCGGATGAATGTTGTGTTTTTAATTGATGAAATCATTTTATCCAGGATGAATTATGACTTTGTTCAGTGTGGTCTTAACATCAGCAATATTTTGCTGTCTTTTCTTGGATTTTATTTTGGCACCAAGTCACTTTAAGATGTTTTGTTTGTTGCGGTTGCACCCCATTCAAGAGCCGAATGAGGCTCACAGGGTTATTTTTATTTTATTATTTCCATTCTACGTGATTTTACCGAAAGAACCAATAAGATGAATCCCTGCAGTCACGAAAGCTTTAAATCGAAAAGGCTTATACCAAATAAATGAAACTTGAACTTGAAATGAACTTGAACATCAGTAATCCAACATTGGTTTTTAAGACCAGTATAGCCTTTTAAGTAGTACACTTAACACGGCGTTAAACGTTACCACGTCTTCTGCGATGGAACACACAATAACCTACGTTTCATACAGACGTTTAATTCTAAATCGTAGTGTAAATACAATATAATACAAACCTGTCAACCCCTTATCAGTGCCCTACCTTATTACACACCAATGCAGACCGTATTGGTCACCACGTGCCCTGATAAATCGCAACGTTCATCCTACAAAGCCCCCCCCCCCCCATCACAGGGGGAGAAACACAATCACATAGACACGATTTATTTTTGCTGTACGCCATATGGACCTTTAAAACTCAACTTCCATGTCCCAAGAATCCGGAGTTGACGGCTGTGATTGTGCTTCATTCGGCATTCGGGTTAGGGTTAAATCCATTGTTGGACTGTACATCTAGGCTGCTTGCCGTCACCAACACCTACAGGGATTGACCAGCGTGGTGAAGTATGTCCCAATGTAATAACCCCGTTGTGGGACCCGCATGGCATGTAGCTGTGGCCCTTCATCCAGCGGTGGAGCGACAGAGCGCCTTGCCTGTAACCTCGCACGCGCGAGTCTCACGATCACTTGTTTTATTGCCGCAACTTAAAAGTGACGCTTCGTTTATCTCGGCATGTGCCGTGCACTATACTGTACAGTTCATCAAGTTCATTTATTAGGTACAGCCCTGCGAGCCATTCGGCTCTTGAATCGGGTGCAACCGCAACAAACAAAAACATGAACAAAAACATCTTAAAGTGAATATCATTATTACAGTGCGCGCTATACTGTACAGTGCGGTACAGTGTACAGCACTGCACACAATACTGTACGCTGTACCCATGAGCTGTATAGTGCACTGTAGACTACTGTACACATCACTACACTGTACAAGTACTGTACACAGTATTACACTGTACACCGCACTGCGCTGTACACAGTATTACACTGTACACAGTACGGCACTGTACACAGTATTACACTGTACACTACTGCACTGTACACAGTATTACACTGTACACTACTGCACTACACAGTATTACACTGTACAAGTACTGCACTGTACGCCGTACAGCGCCAGCTTCTCACATTACTGTACTGTACATTACATGCTGCCCGTACACCGCACTGTACACAGTACTGCGCTGTATACAGTGCGGTACTGTGCACAATGCCGCACTGTATACAGTATTACACTGTACAAGTACTGCACTGTACGCCGTACAGCGCCAGCTACTTACAGTACAGCACTGTACACTACATGCTGCCCCTTACACAGCACTGTACACAGTACTGCACTGAAAACAGTGTGGTACTGTACACAGCACTGCACTGTGCACAGTACAGAACTGCCTGCTTGCAGTCACTCTTTGTGGAGAACGAGACGACGGCTCCAGTTGCACTGTGTGGCGAGGTGCTGTGCGGTCGGTGGTGGCTGCCGAATAGTTTTTATTTTGCTGTGAAGTGTCAAAAATATTTGTGGCCAAAATTTCCCAATTCGAGCTTACAAAAAGTGGACACTTTTTTTTAATATTTCAAATGAATGTGAGCCAACGTGTTTTTCTTCCACGTTTTTTTTTTATTTTAGAGCTAGGAGATGGTGTGTGTGTGAACTTCTTCCACACCGTACGTGGCCAGCCGCGCTAATCGGAGGTGTGTGGGGGAAGAACGACAAACGAAACACAACAAAAGCAGTTTTAACGAAATTGTTTTACAGTTTAGATTTAAAAGTGCTTAGCTCCGTGGCTTCCTAATGTGGTTGTGATGGAGACTGCAAGAGTGGTCCTTGAAGGACACGTTGACCATGTAAGAAGGGGCAGACTTGGCCATAGTGGTGATGATGGCATGGGGATGTTGGTGGTCACATTTATAATAATGATGACCTCTTTCATAAAGCGCCTGTCATATTGAAGTATGTCAAAGCGCCCTACGACTACTCATAAGTGTAGAAAAAAAATCTAAACGAAATAGAAAGATGACAATAGCCATCTCGATGACTACTCTCAAAATTCCAATAAAATGAGGACCTGTGATAAAGACTAATACTAATTACAGAGTAATCCAATCGGACAATTTTTTTGTTGTTTTCTTAAGCTACGGGGAAAGCCTGCAGTACAAATAGGTGAGTCTCTTGAGATGTGATTTAAAAAGTGAAATCGACACCGAAATCCCTAATGGACCGAGGAAGAGGATTCCACAATTGATGACCAGCTGGCCGTGATGACCTCCGACGCTTTGACCATTTCACGCACCTCCGATTCGCGAGGCCAGCTACGTACGGCGCAAAAGAAGTTCCAGTGTACGTACGTACGTTTGATCGTGTTTGAATCGGAGGCAACGTTCTCTGTGTGAACACACGGACGACGGTGCACGTGCGTGTTTTTAAATCCTTTATATTAAGTTCACTTGCTTGCTTGCTTGCGTGCTTACAACCGTGCAAATCTTTCGGTCGTTTTTAACCCACTTCCCGTGATCCAATCGAGCTGACATTTTGAACACAGACTCGTTGTGCGTGACAATTTATTTTCGTGAAAACATTTTTCCAAAATTTTCCACTTTTTAGGAATTTTTTTTTAAATATTTTATTTAAATACCAATGTGATATAAATGAAACTCTTACTCAAGAAAAACAGAAATGAATAATAAAATAAACCCGATGCCACGCATATAAAGGATTTATAGTGAAAAACTTAGTTTTTACGGGTTAATTTTTTATCCTTGCAGCTACGCGCCTTGGTGTCCGGCCTGCCAACAGCTACAGCCCGAGTGGGTGAAGTTGGCCGCCTGGAGCAAAGACCTGAACATCAGGGTTGGCAAGGTGGACATCACGTTACAGACAGGTACCACGTCGCACGACACAGGAGAACCCACTGTCGCCCCCCCCCCCCTCCCCCTGCCATAGTAGAGGCTTGTTTTTTTTGGGGTTGGATCACGTAAATGTCACGTAAAGAAAAGGTGACAATTCGTTACTAGTTCAGCACACCGGTGTGTTGGAGAGTAAACCCACAACATTTACAATTCGATTTCGATTTAAAGCTTTCGTGACTACAGGGATTCATCTTCTTGGTTCTTTCGGTAAAGTCACGTAGAAGGGAAATAATAAAATAATAAAAATAAAACATAATAAAGTAATTCTCACGACGTTTCGGCCACAACGCGAAAGACAGCGTCTGAATACAGACTCTGTCTCCCCGACAGACCTGTTCTTCACCTGAGGATGGCTGCTTGCGTTGTGGCCGAAACGTCGTGAGAATTATTTTATTATGTTTTATTATTTTATTATTTCCCTTCTACGTGACTTTACTGAAAGAACCAAGAAGATTTACAATTCGAGTTAACGACGTTTCGCCGTTCATAACCAGCCTCATCAGGCAACACCCAGAATTGTGGAGAAATCCTCGTGCGGTTTCGGTCTTAAATCGAGTGGGTAAATGTGATGTCGTCACTTGTGAACCATTCAGGTGTGAAGACCATAGGGGGGGGTAGGGGGTGGGTTAATGTCATATAAATTACATTGGATATCTATTATCGGTGGGGTTATTCACAGTTAATCAACATACATAATGTAGGTATGCACATTTTACCGTTTGGGGTATAGTTTAGCCATTTTTGTCTTGAGCAAAAAACGGCTGAACTATTAGCATGTTCGGCTACGTCCAGTGGTGAAAGAAGCTCAATATATGTACATACATAACGAGCAGGGAAAGTGAAACATTAATAAGATTGGCGGGGGGGGGAAGGTAGCTGATTTGTGTTGCTGCATCTTCATTGATGCAGCTATACACACATCTCTGATTAGCACGGTTGACTACATACGGTGCGAAAGTTCTACTTGCATAGGGGGACGGTTAGCCCTCCATATTGGCGTTGAACCATGGGGAAGCACGCGCTTACGCATTCACGGAAGGAGGAATCAAATATAAAAATATTTTAACTGCGGTCTGAAGCGTGACCACATAGCATAAGATTGTGGTGGGAGATTTGTGCTTGGTATATAATTTTAGTGGTGTTGTCCAACTTTGTGCATAGTCTACAGGCTTGCTGGTGCTTAATAATAACAAAAAATACTCGTGAATGACATGCCTTTTTAAATCCTTTATATTAAGTTCACTTGCTTGCTTGCGCGCTTACGACCGTGAAAATCTTTCGGTCGTTTTTTAACCCACTTCCCGTGATCCAATCGAGCTGACATTTTGCACACAGACTCGTTGTGCGTGACAATTTATTTTCCACTTTTTAGGAAAATTTTTTTTTCATATTTAATTTAAAATACCAATGTGATAAAATGAAACTCTTACTCAAGAAAAACAGAAATGAATAATAAAATAAAACCGATGCCACGCATATAAAGGATTTATAGTGAAAAACTTTGTTTTTACGGGTTAATTTTTCAAGCCACTGCTGGTTGACACAGTGCTTTGTCAAGTTGGTGAATGGGGGTTATTTTACCATACTTCACCGTGCTGGCCAGTGTGAGTTGGTGAAGTAATCACCTGTTGAGACATCGCTTGCCAACGATTTTTGCCGTGGCCAGGAAACAATCTCATGCTTCTGGGTTCATAGTGCAGTGCGCTAACCACTGCACCACCACTCAACCCCCAGTGCTTATAGTAGTTAATAATTTAGAATGAATGGCATCTTTGAACTCGGTGAAAGGTAGGGCCTGTGTTATATTATATCCTCCAGTCGGCTTCCTCTGTGTACGGTGATGACCGTTATTGCCAAGGCAGAAATTCCAGTGTAGACTTTAAAAGCAGAACTAAGTTTTACCACTCGGTTTGGAAATCGACTTTGCATTTTTGCAATGAAATTTCACTCGGAGGTAAAATGCATTTGTTAGATATGCTTTGAGATACATTGCCATTCAAACTCCACACCTGCAAATGCTTAAAGTGTATCCTATTGTCATATGTAAATTGTCAATACTGCGGAAGTAACTGAGCGCCAACTTAGAAATAAGCATTTGTAATCGCAGCTTGCCGGGGAGGGGGGGGGTGAATTGGTTTTGAGGGGGGCCTTGACCGTATTATCCCTAGCCACATGCCCCATACGCTGTGTTGTGTTGTAGCTTGCACATCTGCTGACACCAACACCACTCTACTTCTTCTTTCAGGTCTCAGTGGTCGATTCCTAATTACCTCCCTGCCTACGATTTACCAGTGAGTACCCTCGGCACTCGGGCAAGCCGTTCGTGCGTTGACCGTGACTTGACCACGCTGAATTTCACTTCCAAAAAAACCCCAAACTCCAATCGCTAAGCGGAGGCCGAACGCTTTCCTTCGTGTGACACGGCGCTCCGCTCTCTCTCTCTCTGCAACAGCATACACGAGGGGGTGTTCCGCCAGTACGAGGGATCGCGTCTGGAGAAGGACTTCCTGAGCTTCATCGAGGATAAGAAATGGCTGGGGGTGAAGCCGGTCTCCTCCTGGGTGGACCCCAACTCACTCGCGTAAGAATCCATTGGGTGTGCGCGAGCAAACGAGTGTAGCATTGTGCGTGTGTTATGGTCTGTGTGGGGAGCGGCGACGAATGAGTTTGATTCCCGCTCATGACCAATACCAGGTGTGAATGTTTGACCCGACTCTGGGACCTCCCCAAGGTCGACTCAACCTTAAATGATGACCTGGTGTGCTGTGTAAAACATCAGTGCTGGGGAGACGAAGGTTTGTTGGTGTTTTCCTCCCACATTATTACGCGCCGTGCTGGCCTTGATAGGTGCTCGCTAATAGCACTTGTCCCGGACACAGTCTGTCAATGGATATGCGGGGTGTTTGTCTTTTTTATGGGCTGTGAGTGTCTAAATGTGTGTGTGTTTGCTGTGTATGGGTGTTTGTGGTGTGTGCGGATGATTACGTTTAAGTGTGTGGGTTAGATGTAATAGTGCTGACCACAGGCACTCCTTGTGTGCAGTGCAAGTCGTAATTGGTTCTTAAGCACATCACTTTATCCCATCAGTCTGAGGTCTGAACGGGGGATATTTTGAAGTATATATTTCTAGATTTGAAGCTTTCGTGACTGCAAGGATTCATATTCTTAGGTTTTTTCGGTAAAGTCACGTAGGTAAAACATCCAAATTAATAAAAATAAAATAAAACAAAAATCACGACGTTTCGGAGGCAACACAAGTCTCCGTCATCAGGTGGGACCGTCACAGCCGGATTAGCTGCATCAAGTGAGGCAATGATTCAAGATGTAATCCCTTAAGCAAGTTGAGGGGGGGAGGAGAGGGGGGGGGGAGCTAATCAGAATGTGGTAGCCAATGAATGGAACGTATCGGGAGGGAGGGGGGGCGGGGCTCAAAGACGGCACGGAGTGCCAACGTACAACGCATCGGGAGGGGGAGGGGGGGGCGGGGCCAAATCTGTGCAACGCATCGGGAGGGGGAGGGGGGGGCGGGGCCAAATCTGTGCAACGCATCGGGAGGGGGAGGGGGGCAAAGAGTGCACGACGGCATCGACGCTGTTGCTGTTGCACAACGCCAACGCATTGGACAGAGAGGGGGAGGGGAGGCCTGATACACATGATAGAAAAGAACAAAAATACCCATGTTTATACCATTGCTGGCTGAACAATGAAGAGAGTACTGTTAAATACTGGGGATGTTAACACTCGGTAAAGTAAAGTAAGATAGTGCCTGTCAGATAAGATGGTCCAAAAAAGTGTAATTAAGTCTTTTTTGCGTGGTTAATAACACCTTTCCAATGATTACTAAGTTTGTACCCATCATCACGGTTGAAATTATGTCTGTGTTTGTATATTTGTATGGCTTCGTGTACAAACCTTTGATGGTAGCCGGGAGGTTTGCAGAGAACCTTGGTCTCGGAAAAGACAATTTCATGAGAGCCCACCGAGTTGTAGCAATGATCGGCAACGGCCGAAGAATCAGTTCTGCCGTGTTTCAGATCTGACTTGTGCTCGCGGACACGATCACAGGCAAGACCTCTTCGGCAGTACTCAACTCAACCCAATTAGTCTCTATGGTTAAGGACATGGTACTATCCCCTGATGACATCCTCGTCAGCTTTGATGCAGTATCTTTGTTTACCAAAGTCCCAGTACCGGACACCCTAACAATAATTGAGGACTTAGTCCAACATGGACTGAATTCTGATGCACCTGCGCTGGTTAGGCATTGCCTCACCAACACCTATTTTACCTGGAATGGCACCTTCTACAAACAGAATGAGGGTACCCCTATGGGCTCCCCCTTGTCACCAGTTATAGCCAACATGTTCATGGAAAAGTTTGAATCAGACGCCATCCAGACATCCACCCTGCGTCCTTCCCTGTGGAAGAGGTATGTGGATGACACGTTCGTCATCTGGCCACATGGCCTCCCAGCACTGAACCACTTCTTGGACCACATCAATTCTAGACACCCATCCATCAGATTCACCATGGAAGTGGAGAAAGACGGTAAACTACCATTCTTGGATATTCTGTTTGAGAGGAGGCCTGACGGATCCTTGGGACATTCTGTTTACAGGAAAGCCACCCACACAGATTCCTACTTGAAACCGGATTCCCACCACCACCCATCTCAAAAGAATTCTCTCATCAAAACGCTATACCACAGAGCCCATGGCATTTCTGACCAACACCACCTGACCGGTGAATTAAGACATGTACATCGGACCCTCAGGATGAACGGATACTCTGACCGTACTATCCGCCAAGCTGTCTCTCCCACCACACAGGAACAGCCACATGAAACTCCGACCAAAACTATCACGTTACCATACATAGCAGGCGTGACCAAAAAGATCTCCAAAATTCTAAACAAACATAAGATCCAAGTCCGATTCAGTACAGTGCGTAAAATCCGTGATCTGATTCCATCTGTGAAGGATGTCGTTCCTGACTTACATTATCCTGGAGTCTACAAATTGAGTTGCATTTGTGGTGATTGCTACATTGGAGAAACGAAACGTCATGTTTCTGATCGTGTCCGCGAGCACAAGTCAGATCTGAAACACGGCAGAACTGATTCTTCGGCCGTTGCCGATCATTGCTACAACTCGGTGGGCTCTCATGAAATTGTCTTTTCCGAGACCAAGGTTCTCTGCAAACCTCCCGGCTACCATCAAAGGTTTGTACACGAAGCCATACAAATATACAAACACAGACATAATTTCAACCGTGATGATGGGTACAAACTTAGTAATCATTGGAAAGGTGTTATTAACCACGCAAAAAAGACTTAATTACACTTTTTTGGACCATCTTATCTGACAGGCACTATCTTACTTTACTTTACCGAGTGTTAACATCCCCAGTATTTAACAGTACTCTCTTCATTGTTCAGCCAGCAATGGTATAAACATGGGTATTTTTGTTCTTTTCTATCATGTGTATCAGGCCTCCCCTCCCCCTCTCTGTCCAATGCGTTGGCGTTGTGCAACAGCAACAGCGTCGATGCCGTCGTGCACTCTTTGCCCCCCTCCCCCTCCCGATGCGTTGCACAGATTTGGCCCCGCCCCCCCCTCCCCCTCCCGATGCGTTGTACGTTGGCACTCCGTGCCGTCTTTGAGCCCCGCCCCCCCTCCCTCCCGATACGTTCCATTCATTGGCTACCACATTCTGATTAGCTCCCCCCCCCTCTCCTCCCCCCCTCAACTTGCTTAAGGGATTACATCTTGAATCATTGCCTCACTTGATGCAGCTAATCCGGCTGTGACGGTCCCACCTGATGACGGAGACTTGTGTTGCCTCCGAAACGTCGTGATTTTTGTTTTATTTTATTTTTATTAATTTTGATGTTTTACCTACGTGACTTTACCGAAAAAACCTTAGAATTTGAAGTATATATGTTGAACTTCTTTCGCACCGTCCGTAGCCAACCATGCTAATCAGAGGTGCGGGAGAAGGACAGTTGGTTCGGGGAGCAGTGGCATCGTGCTTTGCGCCCCGCGCTGAACCCAGCAACCTGAGTTAGATTCCCGGCCACAGCTAACATCAGTGGCAGGCGACACTGAACAGGTCGTCTGTGTGCATGTTGAACTTCTTTCGCACCGTACCTATCCAACCATGCTAATCAGCGTCATTTGAGGCTGTGATCAACACAGCCTTAAATGATTCTAGATTTGAAGCTTTCGTGACTGCAAGGATTCATACTCTTAGTTTTTTCGGTAAAGTCACGTAGGTAAAAAAATGTAATTAAAATAAAAAAATAATAATAATGATTTTTATTATTTTTAATAATTAAAATTTCATTTTTTTACCTACGTGACTTTACCGAAAAAACTAAGATTATGAAGCCTTAAACGAGTACAGGAATACCTTTCACTTTCGTCTGGTGAGGGAACAGAGCATGGACGAATGTCAAAGCATTGCCTTTATTTAGCTCGCAAATTTATTTTGGCCGGCGAAAAACGTACATGCAAATAACTACAGTAAATATAAAAACGTACATGCAAATAACTGCAGTGACTATATAACGCATGCGCGCGAAACCTAAATAAACAGAAATAAAAGAAAAATAAACACAAGAATAAATAAACAAAACTAAATAAATAAGCAATGATCCCTTTAAATATTTTTTATTCTTGCGTAAGTAAACACTGTAGTATTATATTGTTATTGCGAAAATAACTGAATTGTTTACAGTATAATCACATAAGCACAGTATTAATAATACGTGAATAAACAAAAATATAAGAGATGCTCACTGAGCGACTTCTTTTCAAAGACTGAATGAAAAAGACGGCGCGAGGCGCGAACGTCTTGGAAGATTTGGGATGAAATCAGACAAAAGAGGAAAGCGCGTGGATGAAATTTGGAACGTGGTTATACCGCTGGCCAACACACTTGCTCTGCATAAGGTATTCCAACGGTCGTAAAGTAAATTTGGGGTGCTGATTCCAAATCTGGCATCAGTTTTTGTCTATCACATCAGGTTTTTGAGATATCAAATATTGCATTTTCAATAAAAACTGCGGAACGAAAAATATTAAATAAATGTGGATATCTACATGAAATGATATTAAAAACACACTATCCTAAAAATACAGCACCATATTTTAACACTAAAGCAGTCACTGACTCGCAACAACTTGCAATCATAAGTGACAGAGTTAATTTTGGGTAAAATCAATGAAAATGGGGTATGCCGATAGCATAATAATGATGGAGCAAATCTGAGGTCAGATTTGGAATCAGCACCCTGAAATTAGTCTAAAACAGCTGCAAAAATCCAGGCCAGATAAAAAAAAAAAATTGTTGACCAGTGTAGTTGAAAACGGTCGAAAGAGCAAAGCGATGAAAGTCGAGGTATCGCTGTACATACTAGTGTGCAAACATCAGCACTGTGGTGATGAAGGCAGCTAGGTGTGGTGGTGATGGATGGCCAGACCATCCTATTCGTACCGACCTGAATAACGATTCATGTATTCTTTGTATATTTGTGTTACTAGCTACGGTGTGTCGGTGCCTCACTGTTGATGCTTGTTTTTTTTTATCAGGATGTCTGGTATGTCTGCGTTGATGGACTTCTCTCACTGGATCAAGGTAGGTTCAGTGTTGCTGCGTTTATTTAGATTGTTTGGCTGCTATATATTCACACGTGTTAAGCCACTTCGTTGAGCTTTTATTTGTGGCCAGGTCGCTTCTGAAAAATAAGGTAATAGCTCGGTGGGCTTTACTTGTTAAAATAAAAAATAGTTTTGCTTTATTAGTCCTGGAAGAGACGGCAGATATTAAATACGTAGAGTAAATAAATACATCACGTTGACAGCCATTGCCTCCAGAAGTAGTTGTGTAAGAGTCTTCTTGTGGCAGCAGACATCTTCTGGAAGAGGCCATGAGATGTCCACCATCTCATGAGATGTCCACCATCTCATGAGATGTCCACCATCTCATGAGATGTCCACCATCTCATGAGGGAGGCTATAGTCTGTAACCGCGACCCTCGCAGTATGAGCCTAGAATCTATCATGGTGCACAATTGGGAAATCATTAATTAAAAAAAATCTATAATTACGATTCCCCCCCTGACCAGCTTGGTGTGCAGCGTGCCCCATCGAGCAGTGGATTGACAAAGTGCCACGTGTTTTTTCCATTTTATTGGAAGGATGAATCTTATTCGAATCGACGAATCGTTCAATCGCTGGATGATGGGAGTAACTGAAATGTTTACATTTGTAAATGTCTTGAACATCTTTTGAGTCCTGCCATTTAATAATTGATTTGTAATTTTTTCAGTAATATTGTATGTAAAATGAAACAAGTGACTGGAGAACATCCATAAGTAACAGAGAGAATGCTTAAACTCCGAACAAGACGGCCTTCACAAACCCACTTGCCGTGCTCCACTAGACAGACAAGTATCACGTGCTCCACTTGGTAACGTCAGCAGCGAGAAACAGCAAAGCTGTATTTTCAGCGTGCGCATTTTGCCCTCGGGCTAAAGAACGAGCTTTCAGAATGTGAAACGTATTTGCACGTTCTCTGCCTTTTCATATGTACGTTGAACTACGTAGCCAACCTACAAAGCCAACCGTGCTAATCAGAGGTGTGGAGAAGGACGGCAAACTAAACACAACACAAATTAAGCTGCAGTTCAGCCACCTGTCATTCAGTGTCTAATGACAGATGACTGAATTGCCCCCCCCCCCCCTCCGACCATTTCCCAGAACACCCATGCCTACCTCACCGAGCAGCTCGGCATTCCCGTGTGGGTCTCTTACCTGCTCTTCTCTCTGGCAACCATCCTCATGGGCCTTCTCCTCGGAGCGGTATGTTCACACGGCTCCTACTCTTACACATCACCCCCTCCCCCACTGGTCTGCATGCGTGGGGTTTCTCAAGAATCAAAAGTAGTACAAGAATGAGCAAGGCGTGATAACTCCTCCTCTTGGTTCTTTCGGTAAAGTCACGTAGAATGGAAATAATAAAAATAAAACATAATAAAATAATTCTCACGACGTTTCGGCCACAACACAAGCAGCCGTCCTCAGGTGGAGAACAGGTCTGTCGAGGAGACAGAGTCTGAATGACAAGCCCCAGGCTTGGAGCGACTATTTAAGCTGGGATGGAGGGGGTGAAGAGCGCCTTGACAAAAAAATGGGCATATCAAGAGGAATTTAGCATATTTATGGGAAATGCAGATATTATTGTTTTATTTTTATTATTTTATTATTTCCATTCTATGTGACTTTACCGAAAGCTTTAAATCGCGTGATAACTCCTTTCAGAAATGTTAATTTTGTTTCTCGAGAAGGGCGTGGCCCCGACGAACAGACCTGGTTATTGGAGCGAGATCGCTTGCGAGAGAAGCCCAATGAGAGATGGCTGAAATTGCAGTGTTTATTACCACTTACCGTCTTTCTGTAAAATTAGATTTATTTTATCATCCCCCGGTTTCATGGGGCACCCAGTCGACTTCTCAGTTAAAAGTTTAATACACGGTCTTCAGATTGGGGCACCACGGTGATGAGATGGTGAACTACTTGGCCTGGTATGTAGGAGGCTCCGAGTTCGATCCAGACCCCGATGGCTGTATATTTGGAGTTTGCATGTTCACCCCGTGGTCTCGTGCGTTTTTCTCCGGGTCCTCCGGTTTTTTCCTCCACATTTCGAAACATGCGTTTAGAGCATTTGGCTGCAATACATTTCCATATTATAAGCCACTAAGTTGAGCTTTCATTTGTGACCAGGTCACTTCTGAAAAAGAGCTATATAGCTTAGTGGACCTTACCTGGCAAATTGAAAAGTTAGTTTCGGAAGTATATTTATCTTCTTGTTTCTTTCGGTAAAGTCACGTAGAATGGAAATAATAAAATAATAATAAAACATAATAAAATAATTCTCACGACGTTTCGGCCACAACGCAAGCAGCCGTCCTCAGGTGGAGAACAGGTCTGTCGATAAGACAGAGTCTGAATGACAAGTCCTGGGCTTGGAGCGTCTATTTAAGCTGGGAGGGAGGAGGAAGAGCGCCTTGACAAAATAATTTGCATATCAAGAGGAATTTTAGCATATTTATGTAATATTACACTATGTATTCTACCCACCCTACTGCACACCACACTGCTGCATATTTACCATACAACTACGAATTTTTGCATATTTATGGGAAATGCAGATATGCGACTAGTACTACTTGTGATTACTATACACCACCCTATACCTCGAAAAAGAAGTATATTTAGTTCAGTGCTTCAGCCTCATCTGCGCAAGCCGAGCTGTAGACTTCACTCTAACCCACGCGTGGCGTGCTCTCTCTTGCAGGTCTTTGTGCTGGTGATAGACCGCGTGTGTCCTCCCAAACGACATCCGTCTGCCAAGGCCAAGCGAGGTACGAAGCATTTATGCCATTGTAACACGAGGCCCACTATTTACTGCATTTCCATTGATCCACATGACTAAAGTTGCCATCCTTGGAGTCGGCTTAAAGTCTGGTCACTGACCAAGATTCAAACTCCCTTTGGACATCCCTGGACACAGACCCACAAATCACGATACTTGCTTTTTGTAATTTTTCTTGTCCTGTAGATGCACGGGATTGAGAAAATATCGGTGCAAATTTGATACATTACTCGCAACTTGTTTTAACCTTCTTCTTGGTTCTTTCGGTACTCATAAAATCAAATAATTCTCACGACGTTTCGGCTACAACGCAAGCAGTCGTTGTAGCCGAAACGTCGTGAGAATTATTTGATTTTATTATGTTTTATTTTTATTATTTTATTACTTCCCTTCTACGTGACTTTACCGAAAGAACCAAGAAGATGAATCCCTGCAGTCACGAAAGCTTTAAATCGCAACTTGTTTTAATTGGGAATAAGTCCCGTAGCAACATGTCCCCCCTCCCCTCCTGCGGCAGAGTAATGCCCACTTGCAAGCCGGGTGCTACGTTCACCTTGTGCTGCACAGGGAAAGCTGCCACTGAGTGTGCCCTTCGCTAGACTACATCGGTATGTCTGTCTGAATTATTTTGTACCGTACATAGCCACCGTGATAATCGGAGGTGCGGGGAAGGACAACAAGCTAAACACAAAAAGCAGTTCTAAAGAAATTAGATTTCAATCTAGATTTATAAGTGCATAACTCCCCCAGTTGCTTCCTAATATTGGAAGAGCGTTCCAGACGGCCGCAGAAGCATATCTGAAAGCACGCCATGCGTTACCATCTTTATTTGATGCATAGCCAAAAGCAGAGGTTGCAAACGGGTTTTGATTCCTTATCCGTACGCGGCCGCACCAGGGTCGCAATGGGGTACCCTACCCGATACCCGGCTACCCGTACCCGGCCGGGTATCGGGTGGGGTACGGGTACCCGATTGCGACCTCTGGGATGAAGCCATGTTGCAGGCGCGGGTGGGTTGATTCTAGGAACTTGAATTGTGAGAAGAGACAAGATGTTGGGAAATGAGTGACAAACGGTGACTCACCAGTGACTCACGGCCTACCTGTACCCGTACCCGGCTGCGCCAGGGTCGCAAACGGGTACCCGTACCCGGCTGGGTACGAGGGTAGCCAGGTATTGGGTAGGGTACGGGTAGCCAGGTATCGGGTAGGGTACGGGTATCAGGTACCCGTTTGCGACCTCTGGCCAAAAGCCTCTGCTGCTGTGAGGATGACCGTGATGATGGTTTATGTTCCTTGACGAGATTTTGTAGTGCAAGGCACAGCGAGTAGCTCAGGCATTTAAACGCCCGAATGAATGCAAATCGTTATCCTCAAGTGACAAAACAGCATTTCGTGTAAAACCACTCATTCTCGTTCTTCTTCCGCTTCTTGCTCCTCCTCTTGCTGCTCCTGCCCCCGTCTGTTTGCAGTGGAGGTGCTGAGCGGCCGTCACGCGCCCGCACCTGCCAGGGGCAACGTAGGGCAGGCACAGGCACGGCCAGAAGCGGGGACAAGCGCAGAGGAGACGGAGCCTGTGGGGAAAATCTCGGACGCATTGTTTACCGACGGAAGCGAGCTCCGTCAACGGCAAGTCCACCCGACGGAAGAGGACTGAAGTGGCATCACACAGCGCGAGAGATAGTCTCTGTGAATTGTTTTCACTTTGTGGAAGATGCAGCAATTGCTGTCACTCTTGATTTTTCTTTATAAGTTCTTGGAGTTTAGAATGTTTTTTTTTAATTATCGGTCACTTTACGTTTAATGACCTTTCGTTTGTCAATGGGGAACCCAGCCTTTTGGATTAATTGTGAATGGGGGTATTTATGCCGCCGATGTGTTCCATCAAACGTAATTCCACTGCATCGTACCGTGCGCGAGCTAAAGCACATTTCGCCGAGCGATCCAAACGACGACCCAGTGTCCCCCCCGTCTAAAGTTATACTTGTGGGGGTGGGGTGGTCTTGCACTTGTCACACAATGCTCTCCTTTCTAGCAGCATGCTAACATTTCCAATTATGCAGAAAACATAACCATTGCGGTGTCTCTTTTTCTTCAAAGGATCGATTTGCTTTGTTTGTACCGTCTTTTTTCTATTCTTTAGTTGCAGGAATTTTCACCGCCGTCGTTTTGTGTTGCCCATCGTGTCGACGGGGTTCTTTTTAATTTGACAGCACAAAAAACTCGGCCTGACAAAAAAAAACACGCTCGCAGGAATGAGTGTCTGTGGAACGGGAGGAATGCTGTGCACGAGCCATACTTCATTCATTCTGCTCATCTCACCCGTTAAAATCCCACATTTTCATATTCTCTATCATCGCCTTTTGTCAACCACGGCCAACACCCCCCCCCCATGCTGGATGAAGCCCCTCCCCAAACCACCGCCAAGTCTAGCGGTAGTGCAAAGCAGCACATAGCATCTGCACACAAGCGCCGTTGTCATCCTGATCGAAATTCATTTGCTTCGGGGTTTTTGTTTTAGTCCCAAGTAAACTCAAATTCAACGCATCCGTCAATAAGACTGCCCCAAAAAGGGGTGGGGGGGGCCCTTTATCGAAGGACAAATTGAGAATGGCTATTGCTTGAAATGTCCATTTCTTTTAAGGCGGTGTTGTTGATAAACTTTTGAGCTGTGGCTCTTTTGTGCCAATACACCCGCTGGCAATCTTATCGGCAGCAAAACAAAAAGTTTAAAATAAACTTTGCAATGCTGTTCTGCTCGCGTTCCTTCATGCCGTGGAGCTAATGACAGACCCCAAGGGTGTTTATCGTGCGTAATACTGGTGCGGTCTGGAACGGGAGAGGGGTTGTTGTGGATTTCAATACATTAATGGCAGAGAACATTGTGACAGTGATTGATGAACAGATCCAGTTGAGCTCGTTTTGATGTCACTTCTCTGATCCTCCGCTCCCATCCTGCACACCTTTAAGATGGGGAGGGGGGGAACTCACACGAAGTTGTGCAGCCTCTGATTTTTATTTTATTGCCACAAAGGTAGCATATGGAACCTGCGACCATGTGTATAATATAGCTGTGGTTGAAATGCTTAATATGCCTAAATTCAATCGTGTTCATTAAAATGTATACAGGGAGATCCTTCATAAGATTTTTTTAATCTTCTTGGTTCTTTCGGTAAAGTCACGTAGAATGGAAATAATAAAATAATAAAAATAAAACATTATAAAGTAATTCTAACAGACGCTGTCTTCTCGACAGACCTGTTATCCACCTGAGGACGGCTGCTTGCATTGTGGCCGAAACGTCGTGTTATATTAAAATGGTTATATTAAAATGGATAAGGCAGCAACTGCAGCAGCAGCAGCAAGTGCAGCAGCAAGTGCAGCAGCAGCAGCAACTGCAGCAGCAGCAACTGCTGCAGCAGCAGTAACTGCAGCTCCCTTTGATGCTGTTAATCCTGCATAATGCACATGCATATGCAGTACTAATCACATTCCTGCATTTCCCATAAATATGCTAAATTCCTTTTGATATGCAAATTCCTTTGTCAATGCGCCCAGCTTATATATATGCTCCAAGCTCGTGTGCTGTTTCATTCAGACTCTGTCGCCTCGACGGACCTGGTTTTCACCTGAGGACGGCTGCTTGCGTTGTGGCCGAAACGTCGTGAGAATTGTTTTATTATGTTTTATTTTTATTATTTTATTACTTCCCTTCTACGTGACTTTACCGAAAGAACCAAGAAGATGAATCCCTGCAGTCACGAAAGCTTTAAATCGAAATATTTTTATTATTTTATTATTTACATTCTACGTGACTTTACCGAAAAAACCAAGAAGATGAATCCCTGCAGTCACGAAAGCTTTAAATCGAGATTTTTTGTAGGTTAGATCGTGTAAATTTTAACGTCTCGTTAAACCCGCCGGCGCCCGACAGCCAATTAGTAAAGTATGTCACGTAAACAGAACATGCCAATTCGTTACTCGTACACACACCACCGGTGTGTTGGAAAGCAAATCCACACCATTTACAATCAAGAGTACGCCGTTTCACCAGTAATTACAACCGGCATCATTCGGTGGCAGCCAGATTTGATCTAACCCCAAAAAAACCTGTTATGGATATTGGTCGCGAAAGCCTACGCGTTAAAATGGTGATCCTTGTATACCCAACTTGAAATTGAACACCCCACCCCTCAACGCCCGATCGAATGTTCAATCCACCCCTCCATATCTTGAGAAATGAGCGTGCTAAAAGGTTGAATGAGTTTTATTGAGTTTGGTGGGAGGTGTCAATGAAGGGTTACTTTCTCAATGTACCCCAGATTTTTTTTAGTGGAGGCTCTGTGCGTGGATCACTCCAAGTGGGGCAGGGGGGGGTCACCGCAAAACCCACAATGATATGGGGTGAAAAATAAATGTATGTTTTTGTTGTTGCGAGGGAACACTTGACTATGCAGCTGATGGAACAATGCATTTACACATCTTTCTTGCACTTGTTGATTAATCATGGTGATTGCTCGTTTGCCTTGGATGTCGCTGCTGTTTGGAAGGGTTGACGGCGCAAGCGTTAAAACCAAATAAAACGGCTGGCGCGCGTGGGTGTGCTGTCACATCGAATGCCGTTCTTACCGATGTTTGGACGTTTTAAGAACGCAGTGTGTGTGCAAGTATCGGCCTGTTGTCGGGCCATTTCTTGGTCGAGGGTCTCTCCCGCACCGTATGCCTCCGTGGGGGTGGTGGTTTGACCATACTTCACCACGCTGGTCAGCGCAGCTTTGGTGAAGACAGAGAGCTCTTCCATTTTCGACTTTTAATGTTTCGCTTTTCGGAATCATCCTTTCACTACCCCGTCCACATCGCAGTGGGGGCTACCCTTGGGGGGGGGGAAAAAACATCTTGAGCGGTTTGCTGTGCTGCCCTCCATGTAACCAAGTGCCACGTTGTGATTTGAACTCTGAATGTTCACTCTCAAGGCACAGCAAAGCGTCTTATGACACTGGTCACACTTTTTCTGGCATAAGGTATTCCAGCGGTTAAGGTAATTTTGGGGTGCTGATTCCAAATCTGGCATCAGTTTTTGTCTATCACATCAGGTTTTTGAGATATCAAATATTGCATTTGCAATAAAAACTGCGGAAGAAAAATATTAAATAAATGTGGATATCTACATAAAATGATATTATAAATACACTATCCTAAAAATACAGCACCATATTTTAACACTAAAGCAGTCACTGACTCGCAACTTGCAATCATAAGTGACGGAGTTAATTTCGGGTAAAATCAATGAAAATGGGGTATGCCGATAGCATAAAAATTAACCCGTAAAAACAAAGTTTTTCACTATAAATCCTTTATATGCGTGGCATCGGTTTTATTTTATTATTCATTTCTGTTTTTCTTGAGTAAGAGTTTCATTTTTATCACATTGGTATTTTAAATAAAATGATTTTTTTTCCTAAAAAGTGGAAAATTTAGGAATTTTTTTTCACGAAAATAAATTGTCACGCACAACGAGTCTGTGTGCAAAATGTCAGCTCGATTGGATCACGGGAAGTGGGTTAAAAAACGACCGAAAGATTTGCACGGTCCTAAGCAAGCAAGAGAACTTAATATAAAGCATTTAAAAATATTTCCTCTTATTACGAGGTAGTAGTAGTATAGGTGCAGCCCTGCAACTGCATGCACATGTGACTGCTGGCAGAAGGGTCTCTGCCAGAGGGGGCTCTTAGAGGGTATTTTGTCGTGCCGGGAGATGGAATCGAACTGCAAGTCAAGCGTGCTCGCCATTACATCACGGAAGCTCCTACGAATGATACGGGTCATGTTAAAACGATATGAACACAAGGTTATACCTGATGCAACAAAATGTGTATTCGTAATTATGTCTGTGGGTCCATATGGAAGATTTAGGCCCTGGACAAATATGCTATCTACTTCTCCCACCCCCCCCCCCCCTTACATCTGGCCCTGCTTACAGCACTCAGAATTTATCATTAATCAATCAATGGTGTCCAATACTCACGCGTATATACCGTATTAGCAAATAATACAATTTTCTAATCGCCACTGCCCATTCACAAGACGCAGTGGATGTTACCCTTGGTGCCTTAAAGGCCAGACGCGGTCAAAATGAACACGTGTTGTTCACTTTGCAAAGGTATCCCGTGGCAGTGCGACAATAAAAAAAGTAGGCATATAACAATGCATCAACTAACCGATAAAAATAAATCCTTAAAACTTTGAACGAGAGTTTAACCGTTTACGTGGCTGGCGATAGTGACTGCGTGCTCTGTTGCGATTGGTTCAACCCCTTTCCTACAGCCACAATACAAACAATAATTATACGGTTCAACTCCTGCAACCACATTTTGATTTGTACAAAAATTAGAGCAGTGTTCTTCACTCATTTTCAGACGGGGGCAACTTTCTCCGATGACATCAATGTGTTGAGAGCCACCACATTTGAAACCATTGGGGGGGTTTGACAGCAGCACGATGAATTTCGATTTAAAGCTTTCGTGACTGCAGGGATTCATCTTCTTGGTTCTTTCGGTAAAGTCACGTAGAATGGAAATAATAAAATAATAAAAATAAAATAATTCTCACGACGTTTCGGCCACAACGCAAGCAGCCGTCCTCAGGTGGAGAACAGGTCTGTCATTCAGACTCTGTCTTCTCGACAGACCTGTTCTCCACCTGAGGACGGCTGCTTGCGTTGTGGCCGAAACGTCGTGAAAATTATTTTATTATGTTTTATTACTTTATTATTTCCATTCTACGTGACTTTACGGAACGAACCAAGAAGAAGCAGCACGATGATGATGGTGGAGGGGTGTTTTCAAATGTGTGTATTGTCAGGGGCCGCACTAAAGGCCACCAGTGGCCTGTGGGCCTTGCAATGAAGAACGCCGATTTAGAGCTTTCGCGCTTGCGTTTTTCGGCACGATGTTCGACGTTTCACTCCTCCTGTTGGAAGCCGTCTTACAGAATTGAATTCGCGTTGCCGAAGAAACTCTTGGCACGGCCTGGAAACGTGATTATTAAATAACCAATCCTTTACAGAAAATCAACAAATACATCAGGGGCCTAGCAAGTCTATTTTAATCGATGAATCGGTGCATCGTTACAGTCTCGCTGTACAGGTTTCGGTTTGCGCGATTTCACGCCGTATATGCGGGGAACCTATACCCAAAATTCGTGACGTGACGCGTATTGAATTCAGTCCACTTGGGACAACGTCATACAGTTAGATGCGAGTACTGTGTGCGATACTCGGCGGGCAGCTGCCTCGCACACAAGAGACACGTACACGGAGAGCGATACATACAGGGAACCGGAGAACCCGTGCACAACAGGGGGAGAAAACGTAACAAGCCCCGCACAGAAGAGCATCCGAGTTGGTAATGGAACCCAGGCCCCTTCAGAGCGCTACCGAGTGAGCGACGTGCTTTGCCCGGCTCTGCGGGCACAACACCTAGGAGTCCCGATCGCCGTCAGTCTTAGCTCGCTTGGCTTTCGGCCCTTCCTCCTCTTCACGTTCCTCCGCGGCTGCCGTGGGCTTCTCAGTCACAGGCTCCTGCATCGCCATGGGCTCCTCCGTCACGGGCCCATCTGCTGAGCACGACGACTCTGCCACAGGCTTCTTCACCAAGAGTCCCTCCGCCACGGGCTTCTCCGCCGCAGGTCGCTCCGCCGTGGGCTTCTCCACCAAGAGTCCCTCCACCGTGGGCTTCTCCGCCACAGGTCCCTCCGCCGTGGGCTTCTCCACCAAGAGTCCCTCCACCGTGGGCTTCTCCGCCACAGGTCGCTCCACCGTGGGCTTCTCCGCCACAGGTCGCTCTACCGTGGGCTTCTCCGCCACAGGTCGCTCTACCGTGGGCTTCTCCGCCACAGGTCGCTCCGCCGTGGGCTTCTCCGCCGCAGGTCGCTCCGCCGCGGGCCGCTCCGCCGCAGAGCCAGCATCAGGCGCCACCGTAATGCCTGCAATAGGGCAGTCCATCCCCCGTTACCAATCATAACGCTGTCAAAAGGTAATCCACCGTCAATCGACACCGTCTCAAGTTTATTTGATTTCAAACTTCACGTAAGCCACTTGGAAGCTGGAAGGGGAAACATGGGCAGAGGCGTGAGTTAATTCTGGATCAGACAGGCCACATTCTCTGGACGGAGCGATAGCCAGTTGGTCGAGACTAAGGGTGGAGAGGCAGCTAAAGGAGTGAGTTAGCGCCTTGGAGGACGTCTACGGTGGAGGTGGAGCGGTTTGAGATAAACTCGCGTGCAGGAGCCCGGCGGATCGTTGCCGCACGAGTCCGCAAGAGGTGGCGACGTCGGCGGCTTGCGCAAGAGGAGGCTGAAGGTGACGACGAAGGGATAGCGACGGCTGAGAGACATTAACGACAGCTGTCCAGTCCAAGTTGGTGTGTTTGATTAACTGGGTGAGAACCCAAAGAGACCAGGATAAGACTAGATTTGAAGCTTTCGTGACTGCAAGGATTCATACTCTTAGTTCTTTCGGTAAAATCACGTAGGTAAAAAATGATTTAATTGTTATATTTTTATTAATTTTTATTTCATTTTTTACCTACGTGACTTTATCGAAAGAACCAGGATAAGAGTCTCGTTTGCAAGAGAAATCTGCGGGGGGGGGGGGGGGGGGTCGGCTTACCAAAATGACAAAAGGGAAATAGAAATTTAAATGAAAGCACAGCTCATGGGGCAAAACGGAAATCGGCGTAAAAACAAACGTGTCATGAGAAATCTAAAATATCGCGCCAACGTAAATCGGTGTTAAATCATAAATGTCCCAGTGGCGGAAGTCGGCTCGGGGCTGTTGCCTTGTGCCCTGGGTGTGCGTCTTCAGAATCGGAATATTTATTTATTCTGGAGGAATCCCCTTCAGCGGCTCGGCCAAGGTGATGCAAGCTGGGAGGAGTAAGTGCATGGTGGTGGTGGCGGTTGAAGAGGAGAGGTCGTGCTGAGATTAAACTATAAACTATAAAAACTAAACTTTTATTTTGCCAGGTAAGACCCCACTGAACTATGTAGCTGATTTGCAGAAGTGACCTGGCCACAAATGATAGCTCAACAAGTGACTAACCGCGTGGAAATGTACACCAGGAAAATACTTGAACAGCGTGTTTCTAAATATGGAGTGAAAAACTGGAGGACCCTGAGAAAAATCCACGCGACCACGGAGAGAGAGAGAGAACACGCAAACTCCAAATATACAGCAGCAGGCATCAGGATCCGGATCGAACCCACGGCATCCTGTATACCAGGCCAGGTAGTTAACATCTCCTAGCCACCGTGATGATGATGAGAGAAGAGAGATGCAAACTCCAAATATACAGCAGGCGTCAGGGTCGGGATCGAACCCACGGCATCCTGTATACCAGGCGAGGTAGTTAACATCTCCTAGCCACCGTGGTGATGATGAGAGAAGAGAGATGCAAACTCCAAATATACAGCAGCAGGCGTCAGAGTCGGGATCGAACCCACGGCATCCTGTACACCAGGCGAGGTAGTTAACATCTCGCCAGCGACAAGACTACAGAGTTCAGCTACGCCGGTCCCTGCCGCTACAGGGGGGGGGGGGAAGCCGCCTCTTACCTGTGAGCAGGTATCCCCCGGATGCGCTTGTGCTCATGAGCGGATGAGTTCGGTTCGGCAAAACCTTGACGACACACACATGCACGCCCCGGCGGCACTGCGGTTAGCGCGCCGCGCCAGACGTCGCAAACGGGTTTTGATTCCGTACCCGGCCACACCAGGGTCGCAAACGGGTACCCGTACCCGGCCGTACCCGGCCATACCCTACCCGTACCCAGCTGGGTACGGGTAGGGTACGGGTATCGGGTACCTGATTGCGACCTCTGGGATGAAGCCATGTTGCAGGCGCGGGTGGGTTGATTCTAGGAACTTGAATTGTGAGAAGAGTCAAGACGTTGGGAAATGAGTGACAAACGGTTACTCACCAGTAACTCACGGCCTACCCGTACCCGGCCGCACCAGAGTCGCAAACGGCTACCCGTACCCGGCCGGGTACGGGTAGCCGGGAATCGGGTAGGGTTTGGGTATCGGGTACCCGGTTGCGACCTCTGCGCCGCGCTCTCTCCCTCAATCCCGCAACATCAGTTTGAGTCCCGACCGGTGCCAACATCAGTGGCAGTCGATATGTGAACTTTCCACCCCCCCCCCCAACCGAACTATTTAAATATTTGTATTTTAACCAGCTGAGGCCCACTGAGCTATATAGCTCTTTTACAGGTAGGAACAACAGTTTCACACTGCCCACCGGGGATTATTTGTCTGTCTGTCTGTCGTGCATAGCCACGCCCTCGATTTGTATTTTATCGAGCGCTTCAGGCGGGCTCAGCACCACGTGACGCGCCGCCCCACGCAGCTTGCGCCGCGTGACACGGATCGCACGAATGCGCTGTCCAACCAAGTTCCTACCTGCCCACTCCGAAGGAACGTGTTTCAGAAACGACCTCTTACAACAATGTATAGCACGTTGATTCTAAATGTGGAGGGAAAAACAGGAGGACCTGGAGAAAAATCCACACGATCACAGTTAGAACACGCAAACTCCAAATATACATGTGTCAGTTGGGATCGAACCCACGACCTCCTGTATACCAGGCGAGGTAGTCAACATCTTGCTACCCACCCTCACCCCATCAACCTCTATCAATCACCAACCCGCATTGACCGGAAGAGTGAAGTATGGTCAAATGACCCTCAAGACTGACATGGCATGTGGACACTTTAGCCCATCAGTGGATTGACAAAGGGGCTGTCTACCAATCTGATCGTCACCGTCATCATCGTCAGACTAGATCTATCCATGGCTCATGATGATGATGATGACGGAGCGGCTGCCAAAGGAGAGAAAACGCCCAAGAGAACGCAACCGTGGAGATGGAGCCATGAAGTAAGCTCGCACCGAGGCGCCATATGGATTGCTGCATCATAGGAGCGCGAGATGCTGGCGGCTTGGAGAGATCTTCATCCAGCAGTGGAGAGATCACAGCTCATGATGATGATGAGGAACCTCACCTGGTAGAAGCGGAGCCAGGACTCGGTGAGGTGGAGGCTCACCGTGCTCCCGCGCTCCTTCAGGTTGGTGTAGCATTCCAGCAGCGGCTGCACATCACACGCATCGCACACACACATCGTGCACATACATCGCATATATACACACACACACACATCGCATGTACACACACAGCGTGTACACACACCGCGCACACATCACATTAAAACCGAGAAGAGCAGGAGCCCTGCCCCCCATCATGCACACCTTCTACAGAGGCACCGTTGAGAGCATCTTGACGAGCTGCATCACCGTGTGGTACGGCACCTGCACCGTGTCCTGCCGCAAGACTCTGCAGCGCATAGTGAGAGCAGCTGAGAGGATCATTGGTGTCTCTCTCCCCCCTCTTCTGGACATTTATAACACCCGCATCACCAGCAAAGCAATCAAGATTGCAGGTGATCCCACCCACCCATCTCACAGCCTCTTCAGCCTGCTGCCGTCAGGGAGGAGACTGCGGAGTCTTCCAGCCAGGACCAGCAGGCTCAAAGACAGTTTCTTTCACCAGGCTATCAGGAGACTCAACTCCCTCCCTGCTCTACCATCACTCCCCCCCTCTGCCCACCCACCCCCCTTTGCCCCCTGACCCCATCCCCCACACACACATTCACTCGTACATCCTGATCTCTGGACTGCACATTGCACTACATCGCACTACCACACTGGTTTAAATATCTTATTTCTTTAAATACTTTATTTAAATAATATTTTACATTTTAAAAATGCTTGACTGTTGTTTATTTTAAGTTTATTACATTTTTGATTATTTATCTTGTGTTGATCGCCGATTGTTTATTGTTTATTTATGTCTGTTAATTGTGATTAATTTTTTAATTGCTTGGTTGCACCGTGGGACCAAGAGAGAGGACTGTAATTTCATCTGTGTTGTATGTCATGCATGTAACACACTTGACAATAAAGTGACTTTAAGACTTTAAGACATTACACACACCAACTGCGCACATGTTGCATATACACACACACACATCACATATACACACCGGGTACACATGCATCACACACACACCGTGAACACATTGTGCACACACATCGCATATACACACACACAGAGCGCACATACAAACATCTCACACACACACCGGGTACACACGCATCGCACACACCGCGCACATACATCGCATGTACACACACACCATGCACATGTCGCATATACACACACACACTGTGCACACACATCACATATACACACACTGCACTCACAAACATCACACACATACCGGGTACACATGCATCACACACACATCGTGTATATATATCCACACATGTTGAACTTTTTTCGCACCGTACGCACCCGTGCAAACGCACGCGGGTACGCACGCACGTACGCAGGTATACACGAAGGTACAGACCTAGGTAGACGTGCACACGCAGGTACATGCACAAACAACAACAATTGCGCTTGTGCCAGGCTATGTGCACGTTGAGGTCAAGTGAAGTGTCGAACGTCCGCTGGCAGGTCACGGGGCAGACCCAGGTGCCACGGGTCGACTGAGATGACTGGCTGATGCACCACCTGTGCCCCCTACTGTGCCAACTTGCTGTGTTTTAGCTGCCCGGCGTTCTGCTCGTTGTTGTGAGCATCGCTCCTCTGCCCTCCGTTGTTGTTGGAGGGCGACTGCCTCCAACTGCCCAGTAGCGTCCTTCACGAGCCTCCTCCACAGAGGCCGATCTTGACACCGCTGGTACCAGTCATCGGCAAGTCCACTCAACTCCACATCCTCTTGTACCACATCACTCCATCTCCTCTCTAGCCAGTGCTGCGCCCGTTTAGCCCCCTCTATCCGACCGAACAAAAGCTTCATTCTAGATTTGAAGCTTTCGTGACTGCAAGGATTCATATTCTTAGGTTTTTTCGGTAAAGTCACGTAGGTAAAAAATTAAAATTAATAAAAGTAAAATTTAAATAAATTTAAATCACGACGTTTCGGAGGCAACACAAGTCTTACTTGATACAGCAATCGTGCTGTGACGGTTCCACCTGCAGACGGAAGCTTGTGTTGCCTCCGAAACGTCGTGATTTTTATTTTATTTTACTTCTATTAATTTGAATTTTTTACCTAAGCGACTTTACCGAAAAAACCTAAGAATACGAACAAAAGCTCTTTAGGCATGCGGTGGCTGGGCATGCGGGCTACATGACCCAGCCACATAGTTACACACGCATGTACGGAAGCACACGCACGTACATGTGCAGGTACACACGCACACGCACCTCCCTGTGCTGGCAAAAGACGACAAAAGGTCGCGAGGGGGAGACGAAGTCAAGGAGCCCCTCGAGAATCGGCCACGGCTGGAACTTGCAGGCGATGATCAGGCTGACGAGACGGGGGGGGGGGGGGGGGGGGGGGGGGGTTGGTGGGAGTTAAAGCCGTTGCGCCGGCAACGTCTCGCCACGAAGTACGTCTCGCAGACTTCCACGGTCGTCATGGTCCTCACCACCCCAGCGACTTAAAAGGCAGAACGGAACTGCCGCGGAGAGGGCGATGAGCAGCCCCGAGTTGAAGTTGCAGTAAATGTCGAGTGATCCCGCCGCACCTCCGATTAGCACGGTTGAAGAAGTTCAACATCCATACATACTCAACCGGAAATTATACTAAATCCTAAATGCATACTAAAAAAAACAATCAACGTCGTCCGCCAGGCCAAAGCTGTTGTCACCACCCCACAACCCACCAGATCCCGCAGCTGCTGCGCAGTACAAGCACAGCGGTCTTCGAGGTCTGCCCCTAACAGTCCCCCCCCCCCCCACTATCTTCTACTCTTCGGCCTTCTCGTACCCTCGTGTCGCCGGACTCTTGTAGAGACCTCCCCAATGGGCGTGCCAGTAACCGGCTTCCTCTATCAACCGGCCCTCCCAAGTTACACAGGACTTACAGCTACACCCAGGCCTAAAGTATACGCTAAAGCCATTGCGTGATTACACGTGCAATGGCCAATGATGTCACAACACCCTGATGAGTGACATGAGTCTAACCCCCCCAGTCTAGCCTGCCTTGCCAGGCAAGGGGTTATAAAGACCCGGGCAGGCTGGGGGCGGCACTAGGCCGCAACGGTGTTCATGTTTCAAGTAAACACGTTTAATAACTCCCGCAAGTTAACGAATTTAATAACTCGTGCATAACCAAGATCACGTCAGCGCATTATGCGCGAGTTACACAATTGAAGCAACAAGTTGATGGGAAGACTCACCCATCGGCATCTCTCCGCGCGAGCTCCGCCACGCCAATGTCTGCGCACCGCTTCCTCTCCTCCTGCCGCACCTCCTTCTGTGCAGGGCGGCGGCAGGCAACGCACCGACCGCTCAGCTGTGGCGCGTACACAATTCTCTGGCACGAGTCGCGACGGGTACCGCAAGATCCGACTGCGTCCGTCCAACGATCGCCGAGCCAACGTATCAACGGCATAGAAAAGTGCTGAAAACGTCGATTTAAAGCTTTCGTGACTGCAGAGATTCATCTTCTTGGTTCTTTCGGTAAAGTCACGTAGAAGAGAAATAATAAAAATAAAACATAACAAAATAATTCTCAAGACGTTTCGGCCACAACGCAAGCAGCCGTCAGGTGAAGAACAGGTCCGTCAGGAAGACAGCGTCTGACTTTACCGAAAGAACCAAAAAGATTCTGAAAACGTGTTTCTTGCTAGCGGTACGGAATAAAACATTTTAAGCAGAAAAATTACTTTCGCCAAAAACATACATTCCCTTCACCTGAGATTTGAGGTCCTTGACGTTGGCCATGCCAGTCTCACTCTCGGTCCGGACGTCTCCTTGCCTCTTGCCAGCCTGCTCTCCCGCAATGGAATCCAGTTCCGCCTGCTGAGAATCCTGCTCCGGCTGCTCCACATTGCCGGCAGCTGGCGCCTCCGTGTCCATACCAGAGTCGTCCGCACATCCGTCCGAGCATCCCTCTGGGAGGCCAGTGCACTCTGCGGAGACCACGGTGGCGGTGTTGTTGCTAGCGGCGACGGTGGTATTGTTAGCGGCGGCTCCGGTGTTGCTAACGACGACGGCATTGTTGCTAGCGGCGACGGCGTTGTTACTAGCGGCGGTGTTGTTAGCGGCGACGGCGTCGGTGTTGCTAGCGGCAGCGCCGTCGCAGCACTGCTGGGCGATGGCGCCGATCCGGTCGAGGGGGACGGAGAAGACGCGGGCGAAGAAGCGCTCGGGGAAGCCGAAGTGCTCCGTGGCCGTGGTGTTGGCCATGGCGCCGGCGTGCACGTTTAGGATCGTGCCGTGCCCTGCGGAGGCGTGGACAGACGGACGAACGGGTTACTCACGGGAGAATGGACGGCCACATGGACGAAACGGGGTTGGGGGGGGGCAACAGACGGACAAATGCAAAGATCGCACGGGCACCATCACACACAAAGACGACCCCACCATCCGTATAGCCTTAACAGATTGTTTGGGCAAGTGCTGTTACCGATTGCCTGCCAAGGGGGCGGTGGGTGGCTAGCACCACACTTGACCGTCTTTGTGTCTCGAGTGGCGATGTTCACACACCGCACGAGTGTCGACCTAGACGACACGCGCTTCATTTAACCGTCACCCGCGTCGACCGCGAACGGGAATCGAACCGGGGTCGCCGGGTTCGTAGCATGGCGCGCTAACCCGCTGCGCCACCGCTGCACCTCCGCTCCCCGCACGCACACACACGCACGCGCGTGCCGGCCGCTCTCACCTCCCATGCGCTCCATGACGGCGCCCAGCACAAGCCCCGAGCAGCTCTCCACGACGATCGTCTTGCCGCTGGCGCGCACGTTCCCGGACGCCAGCAGCTGCGACAGCGAATCCACGCGGAGGTGGCTGGCACGAGCGAGCGGAGCGTCACGAGGTTACGGCACAAAAACCACGCCGGCAGAGACCGGAGCCGGGGGAGTCAGCACCCATCCCTCCCCCCCTCGCCCCACTTCCCGCGCGCACGGACAACCTCACCGGATCTCTGTCGAGATTGAAAACTCATTCTGATTTTTGTGTATTAGTTTGTTGTCCTTCTCCCGCGCCCCCGCACCTCCGATTAGCACCGTTGGCTACGTACGGTGTGTGAAAGAAGTTCAGCATCCATAGATACACCATCAACTGGCTCTAAATCATTCAAGCATACACGTGGGCACACATTCATTTGAAATATTTAAATAAAAATTACAGTAAAATGTAAATTTTTGTAAGCTCGAATTGGGCACTTTTGCCCACTTCCAACCAAAGGATTTTGGGCACTTTATAGCAAAAACAATTTGGCAGCCCCAACTGGAGGATGGTCTGACCATCCATCACCACCACCACACCTAGCTGCCTTTGTCTCCACACAGTGCTGATGTTTGCAAACTGTAGCATGTGTAATAAAGCTCGTTGAGGCGACTTCTGAAATTCGTCTTTTATTCAACTGCTGACAGGCAGCGTGAGAGGGACAGATAGAGAGAGAGACACCCTACCACGTGGCAACCCGGAGCCCCGCTCCCATGTGGCCCCCTTCCTCTGTTCGTTCCCGTTCTGACCACGTGTCGCTCGTCTCCACCCCTATTTAATACCCGGGTCACGTGGTACGTTTACGCCAATCCTCGTTAGCCTCCATGGAATATTCCAGGCCCCCTCGTAAGCTCCCGGGACCACGCCCCTGACTCGTCTCCCCATTGGCTGTGGCCAAAGCCAGCAGAACCAATCCCCTACTTACAGCTGTCACCTTTCCATCACGTCAGGGCCACGCCCCCAGGGTTCCCCCCATTGGCTATAAACCAGGACCGGCAGAGCCAATCATCATGACGAGTTGTGATACGTCATTGAGCCGGATATATCCTCACGTTACACATGTACTCAATTAAGGCTGTGTCGATCACAGCCTCAAATGAGGCTCCGATAAGCACGGTTGGCTACGTACGGTGCCAAAAAAGAAGTTCAACATACGTACGGTGCTGCTCAGAGATGCCTGCCCAATTGCTCCAAGGCAGGGGTCATCGGTCAACCTGCAGCTCCAGAGCCGCATGCGGCTCTTTGGCTGCCCCCCTTTTGCGAGCAACCGTTTTAACAACAAAAAATGTAATCTTAAAACACAACTTTACGTAAAGAAAATTGATTCAATACGGCAGACCGCTGCTCTCAGGTAAAAGCGCGCATGTACGTTGAACTTCTTTCGTACCGCACGCGGCCAATCGGAGGGTGCTCTCGCGACAAAAGTGGATGGGCAACATGCTCGTGGTGGAACAGCGCTTACCAGATCTTGGCCGGCTCGCGCGAGTGGTACATTGTAGCCAGGAGGCGTGCGTTCGGCTTCAGCACCGTGATGTGGGATTCGTATCTGCGCACACACGCGGCCATTCGTCAGTGACCGCAGCGTCACCGCAGCACTCCCCCGCCGTCCCGACCGATGAATCGGAACGCTACTTCTACGCTCCCCGGGGCTTAAACCAACCCGTGCTGACCAGCGCGGCGAAGTATGGTCGAATAACCGCCGTGACCGATGAGTCCTTGGCTCTCCGTTTTCCTCTCGCACGCGCAACGGCCCGAAGACGTCTCTTCGCATATATACGGAGGACGGCAGAGCTTGGGCGATCGTTGGCGCCAGCTCACGCGGTCTGGCCCGCTGCCTGCCCGCTTGTCCGCGGTTTCTCCTCGTGCGTCCCGAGTCGAGAGCGAGCGGACACACCATGCAGATTATTTATGTTATCGTTGTAATACTGGAGAACAAACGTCACACAAACACAGTCCTGGGACAATGCTCGGATGGCTAAAACAAACCCATGCAGGTGAAGAGGACCGTGCAAGCAAATTTAATTGTTGTACGATACTTCAACGGCCTGCTCCCCAAGCAAATCTACACAAACTCCATCCTAAAACCCTCTCGTCGTGGCTAGCAGACCTCTCACCGAGTGGTGAAGTATGGTCAAACGACCCGCACGGTCTGGGGAGGCCCTCGTCGCACTCATTGCACACAAAGTGCTTGCCACAAATGAACTACAATACCAGGGTGATCTCATCGGGGGAGCATAAACTATCACGTGAACTCCGGTCATCCTCTAAGCAGCGGCTTTTGGCTCGCCACTGAACAAAGATGGTCACCGCATTGCATGCTTTGAGATGCGCTTCTGCGGCCGTCTGGAACGCTCTTCCTTCCGATATTAGAAGGCCACTGGAGCCATGCACTTTTAAATCATCTATATTGAAAACGAATTCCTTTAGAACTACTTTTTTTGTTTAGTTTGTTGACCTTCCCACGCACCTCCGTGCAAAAGAAGTTCAACATACAAAGACAAAGCGAGCACCTATGAAGGGCAGGAAGGCACACAAGATAGTAGGTGGCCAGCACCACGCCCGACCGCCTTTGTCTCCCCAGTGGAAATGTTTTTCCACACCGCACCAGGTACTCATTTGAGGCGACCTAGGGGAGGCCCAGGACGGGTTTCGATAACCGTCACCGGTGTTGGCCGTGAGCGAGAATCGAACTCGGGTCGCCAGGTTCGTAGCGCAGCGCGTGAACCACCACACGACCGGATTGACAGCGGTGCTGTTCCGCATTGAGCGGATCTACTCACTTCTTCTTCTTCCTCTTGATGTACTTCTCTTGAGAAAACTCCGTCTTTTCTTTGAACGTGCTGCTGTTCTCCACCAGCTGGCTCACAATCTCCTGCTCAACGCAAATCACCGATGAGAAAAATCAACGGAATCCTCCGATACGAATAACAAAATAATAATCCCATTCATTAAGAGCCTTTCATCAAGCAGGGCGTCATGGTTTGCTTGGTGTTGTTTGTCGAGCTATCGTATTAGCACGGTTGGCTATGTACGGTGCGAAATATGTACAACATTTGTGGCCGGGTCGCTTCTGAAAACGAGCGATAGCTCAGTGGGCTTTACCGGGTAAAATTAAAAATAGTTTATACTTTAGTTTAATTGCAGGGCTCAACATTTACATGCATCCACTTTTATCGTAAGCTGAGCACATGTCTCTCAGCCCCTATCGCTCCGTGCTGGGCCAGTGAAGAGCTGTGCCCCACCGTGCCTCTGGGGCTGGGGTAGTGAGGAGCTTGGCCCTACCGTGCCCCTGATGCTGGGGTAGTGAGGAGCTGTGCCCCACCGTGCCCCTGGGGCTGGGGTAGTGAGGAGCTGTGCCCCACCGTGCCCCTGGGGCTGGGGTAGTGAGGAGCTGTGCCCTACCGTGCCCCTGAGGCCCTGTTCCTTGAGAGCCGAGATGTCGTCCCGCGTGAGCTTCTGTGCCGAGCCGTCGCTCTGGATGTTGCGGTTGTCGACTCCGGACTCCGACACCGCGACTGCGACAGGCGGGGAGAAAACCAAACAGCGCGGCGACCCGTGTGGGGCAAACCGGGGGAAAAGGATGGTGCGACATTTCGAGAAGCAATTGCACATAGACACCCTTACAAGTCCAAACTATATGGTACAATTATATTGTGTAATAGTATTGTTTGGGACACGAAACTGACATAGGAATTTATCGTGGTGGTATATAACAATATTATATAACAATGGTATATAACAATGGTATATAACAATGGTATATAACAATGGTATATAACAATGCTATATAAAAATGGTATATACCAATGGTATATAACAATGGTATATAACAATGTTATATAAAAATGGTATATAACAATGGTATATAACAATGGTATATAACAATGCCCCAAAGCCCCATTGACACTCGAGACTGTTTTCTGGAGGGCTCTGCTTTGGCCAATTTCATTCAAGATCGTTGGGATTCATGTCGGAGGAAAGCAGAGTACCCAGAGCATATCCATCACCGACACAAAAGGGGACAACACACAAAGCTCTGCATCAGATGGATTTAATAATCCATGTGATGAGCTGCAATCTTCTGGTGACATATTCCCCCAGCCACCATACAATGTGCGGAGGAAAACAATTGGGCTTGGGCAGGGCACGTAACTAGAATGGGTCATGGTCAGCGGTTCAGACTAAGGACAACAGCTACACAGGGAGAAAACGCACAAAAGCACATCCACTGAGGATATTGAACAATGAGATTAGCTTGCGTGCAGGAGCCAGACAGAATCTTGCATTTAAGAACAATGATAATCAGAACTTTTATTTTTCAATTCAAAGCTTTCGTGACTGCAGGGATTCATATTATTGGTTCTTTCGGTAAAGTCACGTAGATAGGTTCAATAGAAAATTACAAAAAATTACCAAAAACTACGACGTTTCGATCGACATTAAATCCCAACGATCTTGAATGAAATTGACCAAAGCAGAACCCTCCATCAGGAAGAGGGGGTTAGCTTCTAAAGGTAAACGGTTTATAAAGGTTTGAAATGGGCGTAGCCCAAACGTCAGCAGCCAATGTTAATGTACACCACTTAAAATTTTTTGTTATTTTCTTTGAACCTATCTACGTGACTTTACCGAAAAACCCAAACAAGGTGGCTAATGTTGATGATAATGAGTGTGAAGAAGGCCCAGCATAAGAGTACGGAGCACTGCAAAGGATGAACTAACACCAGGTAAGAAAGTGGCCAGACATCCCAATTGTGGACCCTCCTGACGACGTCTCGACACCGTTTGACGACGTCTCACCTTCAGCCTTGAGCACCTTGCTCGCACACAGGGGCTGTAGGTCACCTCCACCCGTGATGTCAAACGTGGTGCCGTACCTCGCACCGATCAAACTGTCCACGAAGAACCACTTCTTCTCGAAGTTCACCTTCCTGAGGGATGCATCGCACCACATTGCCCGTCAGTCCAGCGACTTGCCCATTGCGTGTTACTGTTTTACCTTGTTTTATTTTACCCGGTAAGGCCCACCGAGCTATGTAGCTCTTTTCCAGAAGCGACATCGCCACAAATGATAGCTCAGCGAAGCGGCTTATCATGTGTTAATGTACAGCAGCCAAATACTCTAAACGCGTGTTCCTATATGTGGAGGGAAACGCCGGAGGACCGGGAGAAGAATTCACACAACCACGGGGAGACACGCAAACTGCAAATATACAGCAGCAGGCGTCAGGGTAGGGATCGAACCCACGACCTCCTGTAGACCAGGCGAGGGAGTTAACATCTCCTAGCCACCGTGATGATGATGATGAGAGACACCGCAAACTGCAAATATACAGCAGGCGTCAGGGTAGGGCTCGAACCCACGACCTCCTGTATACCAGGCGGAGGTAGTTAACATATCCTAGCCACCGTGATGATGATGATGAGAGATACCACAAACTGCAAATATACAGCAGGCGTCAGGGTAGGGCTCGAACCCACGACCTCCTGTAGACCAGGCGAGGGAGTTAACATCTCCTAGCCACCGTGATGATGATGATGAGAGACACCGCAAACTGCAAATATACAGCAGGCGTCAGGGTAGGGCTCGAACCCACGACCTCCTGTAGACCAGGCGAGGTAGTCAACATCTCTCCAGTTCAGCGACTTGTCCATTCGCTGTGGGGCAGTTCCACAAATGAGGCGACCTTAAAGCCATAATTGTAACATCATCAGAATAATATACTGCATTACGGGGTGGCCGTTTTGAAAATATGGCTTGTGTATGGGATAAGTGAATGGTTTCCTTTGTGCACACACATACACAACAGAATGCACCATCGCCACGCTGGGAAAACGTCAGCTCTCCCGAGTGAGTCCGACACGGCGGCGGGTTTATTTCTATTCGAGTTGCCGTGACAATGTCAGTTGACAAGACGGTGCTCAAGTAAACGCCACAGTGAGATCCGATACCGAAGATTACCGGCAACTACAAGGCGCGTCTGAAACGCACGTTGTGCAAAAATCCTTGAAAGGGATTCAGTCGAATGAGTTTGGTTGGGAGAACGCCGATAAAATAACAATCCATCTCGAAACCAGGGCCCTAAAAGCCAATGTGGGAAATTCCACATTGCTGTGGCGGGACCACTCTTAACGTCTGTCAGTTAAAATGTCGCTCTGCTCTGGGAGACGAAAGGGGGGGGTGGTGGACGAGAGGGGGGGAGACGAGAGGGGGGGGGAGACGAGGGGGGGGGGAGACGAGGGGGGGAGACGAGAGGGGGAGGGGAGACGAGGGGGGGGGAGACGAGGGGGGGAGACGAGGGGGGGGGAAGACGAGGGGGGGGGTGAAGTGGTGTGTGAAGGCCGCACTCCACACCGGTGTCTCTCCACTCGCACGGCCTTCAGCAAGTCCTCTCGCTTCAGCACCACGCGGTCGCCCTCCCCGATGATGACCACGGTGGTGGTGTCCGTCTGCATGATGTCGCCACCGCTGACGACGGCGCCGCCAGAGTTTGCAACGAGTGTCGCTAAAGCCACCGTGGTTGTTTGATTGTCAGTGTAGCTGCTGCCTCTACTGCTGCCTCTGTCTCTCCTGCTGCTGCTGCCTCTGTCTCTCCTGCTGCTGCCTCTGTATCTGCTGCTGCTGCCTCTGTATCTGCTGCTGCTGCCTCTGTATCTGCTGCTGCTGCCTCTGTATCTGCTGCTGCTGCCTCTGTATCTGCTGCTGCTGCCTCTGTATCTGCTGCTGCTGCCTCTGTATCTGCTGCTGCTGCCTCTGTATCTGCTGCTGCTGCCTCTGTATCTGCTGCTGCTGCCTCTGTATCTGCTGCTGCTGCCTCTGTATCTGCTGCTGCTGCCTCTGTATCTGCTGCTGCTGCCTCTGTATCTGCTGCTGCTGCCTCTGTATCTGCTGCTGCTGCCTCTGTATCTGCTGCTGCTTCCTCTGTATCTGCTGCTGCTGCCTCTGTATCTGCTGCTGCTGCCTCTGTATCTGCTGCTGCTGCCTCTGTATCTGCTGCTGCTGCCTCTGTCTCTCCTGCTGCTGCCTCTGTCTCTCCTGCTGCTGCCTCTGTCTCTCCTGCTGCTGCCTCTGTCTCTCCTGCTGCTGCCTCTGTATCTGCTGCTGCTGCCTCTGTCTCTCCTGCTGCTGCCTCTGTCTCTCGTGCTGCTGCCTCTGTCTCTCGTGCTGCTGCCTCTGTCTCTCGTGCTGCTGCCTCTGTCTCTCCTGCTGCTGCCTCTGTCTCTCCTGCTGCCTGTCTCTCCTGCTGCTGCCTCTGTCTCTCCTGCTGCCTGTCTCTCCTGCTGCTGCCTCTGTCTCTCCTGCTGCCTGTCTCTCCTGCTGCCTGTCTCTCCTGCTGCTGCCTCTGTCTCTCCTGCTGCAGCTGTCGCTACTGTGACTGCTGCCACCGCGGGTTTCAATGGCAACTTGAGGCGCGCCAAAAAAACGCACGTGGCTGACGACTTCCGCCCTCGTGTTACGGGTCGCGGCTGCGGACACCGCGCCGGCAAAGTGTAGGGGGGGGGAGAAAAACGCGTAGCGAAAATTGTCCCGTGGTTGTGTATATACGGTACACGGTACTCGATGATTTTCTATCAACCCTCTATTTAAATACTTTACCGTATTGTCTGGATTATAAGACGCCTACGGAAAGTAATACGCACGCAACCCCAAAACTTTCCCCCGTTGTCAATATAAGACGCACTTGGCTCTGAACTACGGGTAATCAAAAAAACCACGCATGAAAAAATGAAAATAGATCTTGACTTAAAGCTTTCGTGACGACAGGAATACATATTATATGGGTCTTTCGGTAAAGCCACAAGACGCATAGAATAAATAAAAATAGCTTTTACCCTTTCTGCCAAAAAAACACAGTTGTGTTAGGATGTGCAATCACAAAATATAAACATTTTATTAGTTGGAACCTCCTGGTTACACCAGCCCACAGGAGATTATTGTGTCCGTCCGTCGTGCAGGGAGGGGCTGGGTGGGGAGGGGCTGGGTGGGGAGGGGCTGGGTGGGGGGTGGGGCTGGGTGGGGAGGGGCTGGTCACCCCGTGGTGCCCTTATAAAACTCAACGTTTAACCTACTCACGCCGGCTTGTGCCCGCCCTCACAATCGGGCATATTTGCGGAATACACCACGCCGCGGTTGATCCTGGCCATTGACCGAGCAACCCAACGTTCCTACCAGCTCCCTCCGCAGGAATGTGTTGCAAGGATTGAAGTCGACATTAACCACACGCACTTGAACATGCAAACAGAAAACACGCTCTGATAATTATATATGGCATTGTCTTTGACACGGATTGGTCCACACCAGAGACAGCTTTCTTTAGAGCCGAGTCTCACTGCCAGTGTTAGACCAGAGGACGTTTCAAAGACAATGCCCCATACATTACCAGATAATGTCTTTTTGCTTGCATGTTCAGCACAAGCGTGTGTGGTTAATGGAGGACCATGATTCCTTGTAAAAGGTTTCTGTTTGGTGTTTCAAAATCTTAACACAAATGTTTTATTGCCAAAAAGGCTAAAAACCTATTGTTATATTCTTATCCTGGCAACAAAAGTCCCATAAGGTGCGTCATACAATCCGGAGAAGACGGTCAATGTAAGGTCAATGTTACCGTGATGTGCTTTTTGGGGCTCTGCAATAGCGGACTGTGATCGCAACCGAATGGCAAAATTCGCAGCGCTTTGCCAATCCACTGCTGGATGTCCGTACGTCACGTGGTGGTGACTGGAGTGTCCGTACGTCACGTGGTGGTGGCTGGAGTGTCCATACTTCCCCGCGCTGGTGAAGCAATAACATCCCCTCGTCATCGCTTAAAGTCACATGAGCCCCCTTTTGGACCCGTGCGCTTCACCTTTTAACGGTGCGAGTTCGACACCGACGAGCCTCGGAGAGCTGAGTGGAGTTCAAGAGAACTCGCGAACAAACACCGCCCAACGCAGAAACATCCCTCGGTTTCATCTTCCACGAAGCTCACGGTCCACCCCGAAACCGCATCCACTACGCAGACCGTGGCAGCAGTAGATGCGGATACCTGATGCACAAATGGAATCTTTAATAAAAACTTTCCAGGAGTCTGCGACTGTGGTCATCCAGAACAGAGACCGGTAACAACGTGTGACGACGCATTGCCCCGATCTATAAATACCAATAAGGAGACATCACAGCGGCGATACGACTAACTCCGCTTGCGGTCATCTGCAGGGCGTCACCCCACCCTAAATGTGAAATTGCAGTCATTGTTCTTGGGGTTTTTCCGGTAAAGTCACGTAGATAAAAAAAATTACAATTAAAATTAATAAAAGTCAAATAAAAGTAAAATAAGATAAAAATCACGACGTTTCGGAGCAGAGCCGGCCCAGCCACTAAGCGACCCTTGCAATTGCAAAGGGCCCCGTGGTCAGCAGAGGGCCCCCTAGAGTCACTGCTAGCGAGTGGGTGAAAAAAATCATACATCAAAGGGGCCTCCAACCAAATTTTGCTTAGGGCCCCCAAAGGTCTAGGGCCGGTTCTGGTTCGGAGGCAACACAAGCTTCTGTCTTCAGGTGGAACCGTCACAGCACGCTTGCTGTATCAAGTAAAAAAAAAAGATACAGCAGTCGTGCTGTGACGGTTCCACCTGAAGACGAAAGCTTGTGTTGCCTCCGAAACGTCGTGATTTTTATTATATTTTTTATTTTATTTTACTATTATTAATTTTATTTTTTTACCTACGTGACTTTACCGAAAAAACCTAAGAATATGAATCCTTGCAGTCACGAAAGCTTCAAATCTAGAATTGCAGTCATTGTCACTGCGTCTACATCGGCGTGCCGTACGAAAGCAGCCGCAGTAGCAGCAGCAGCAGAATAAGAAGAAAAAAATTAACCCGTAAAAACAAAGTTTTTCAATATAAATCCTTTATATGCGTGGCGGCTAGAGTCCTCTCGTCCTCTGGCTTGAGATGGCTGCCACCTATGGGTCAGATGATTGCTTGGCACCATTAAGCAATTGGTAATTACATATAATTTTTTGTTCCTAAAAAGTGTAAAATTTAGGATTTTTTTCACGAAAATTAATTGTCACGCACAACGAGTCTGTGTGGAAAATGTCAGCTCGATTGGATCACGGGAAGTGGGTAAAAAAACGACCAAAAGATTTGCACGGTCGTAAGCGTGCAAGCAAGCAAGCGAACTTAATATAAAGGATTTTAAAAAATAGAGCGCTGGTGAGTGAACTGGGTTCAGGATACCCACCCGGGCCCAGTAGGGATCGCTCTTCCCGTGCTCTCTGCACCCAAAGTGGCTCTCATGTGGACAGCGCGAGAGAGAGAGCGAGCTGACGGCGTCCAGCCGACGTGTCGATACAAATAGCAGGCGTTATCCATGACAATAGAAAACACGTAGATATTTTTAATACGTATTTTATATATATAGGAGAGAGAGACATGATGTTAACCGAGGCATCTGTGGACATCCGTAAAAACTACTCGACATCTGTGAAAACTACTGGACATTAAATATCGATTTAAAGCTTTCATGACTGCAGGGATTCATCTTCTTGGTTCTTTCGGTAAAGTCACGTAGAAGGGAAGTAATAAAATAATAAAAATAAAACATAATAAAATAATATAATAAAAGAATTTTATAATAAAACATAATAAAATAATATAATATAATAAAATTATTTTAATATGTTATATTATTTTATTATGTTTTATTTTTATTATTATTACTTCCCTTCTACGTGACTTTACCGAAAGAACCAAGAAGATACTGGACATTAGTAAAAAAAGAGCTTTATTGCTCATCGGATTCCTCCAGTATAAATACATTTTCTGATTCGTATACGTATATATTAAAACAGACGGGAGATTATTCGGCAAAATTATATGATACGGGGCATGCATTCAGAGACTTAAGAAACAGGGGAAATCTGTTGCAGTATTCGGAAGAGAGACAATTTGTGTGGTCAAACGACCGCCCCTGTATAAAGTAGAGCCGACACGAGGTTCGAGGGGGGGGGTCAGTCCTTTATTTCCCCCCAGTCCACACTTGCCCACAGGCCTCTCCCAATTGCCCCGAGCCCCCCGTATACAGACAAGCCCTCTCTGTTCCCGCTCGACTGCCTCCCTCCTTTGAGTGGGAATCCTCTCCATGCCCCTTAACCCACCGTCCATATCCAATCATACCCCTCACATCCCTTTAGGGGACATCCATTCAGTGCGTACGCAGGGAGGGGGGTAACCCAAATGCGTACGCTTGCGTCTGGGGGGCCTACTGACAATCTACGTACGCATAGGAATTGGGGGGGGGGGGGGGTGGGTGAAGCCTCGATAATAATACTCTTAAGTTCTTTTGGTAAAGTCACGTAGGTAAAAAAATGAAATTAAAATTAATTTTTTTAAAATGTGTCTACATTGGCCTTCAAATGAGTTAGATAGTCCGGCGGTGGACTCGGTGTTTGCTTAAACACGTTCATCTTATTAATCCTTGATCGTTTCTGCGCAGATTAAATATCGGCCGTTCTATAGGATTCGGGGGGGGGTGCGTCAAGCGAACGTACGCAGGTAGGGTGGAGAATAAAAAAATAACCCGTAAAAACAAAGTTTTTCACTATAAATCCTTTATATGCGTTTTCAATGGGCCACAACCCAGCCCACATTGGTCTTTGAAACGGGCGGCTAGAGTCCTCTCGTCCTCTGGCTTGAGATGGCTGCCACATATGGGTCAGATGATTGTCTGCCACCATTAAGCAATTGGTAATTAAATATTTTAAAAAAATTCCTAAAAGGTGTAAAATTTTTGACAAAATTTTTCACGAAAATGCATTGTCACGCACAACGAGTCTGTGTGCAAAATGTCAGCTCGATTGGATCACGGGAAGTGGGTTAAAAAACGACCGAAAGATTTGCACGGTCGTAAGCAAGCAAGTGAACTTAATATAAAGGATTTAAAAAGTCCACGTGCGTACAGGGAGGGGGGAGGGGTCAGGTTTGGACAGACTTGTGCGTACCTACTCAATGGATGGCCCCTTACACCCCCCATGAGCGTCAGGCATGAGCCACAGCCGCTGCTTACATTGGCAAGCGATGTTTGAACCGAGCTTCTCAACGCGACTTCACCAATCTCCACGCGGACCCAGTGGTGGTGACAATCAGTGCGGCTCAACAGCCTCCATGGACCGACACAGCGTTAAGAGGCCCTCCTCATTCAGCAGCAGTGGATGTGCAAAACAAGTGTGTGGAAGCTTGGGGTGTGTAACGTTTCGAGTTTGACCACGAGAAACAGGGGGCTTGTGCCGAGCAAGGGGCAATCATGAGCACCGTGTAGATGGTGGTTGCAGTCTGGAACGTGCCCAGTTTGAATTAGTTTAATCTGGCCCAATTCGTCAGCCAGTCCCAGACAAGCCCTCTCTGTAAGAAGGCGACAGATCAGG